AGAAAAAGAGAGAATAAAAGAACAAGGGACAAGTTGATTATACAAAATTCACTCAATATGGTCCTATCTATGTATGTGCTGCAAACGACTCTCAGTCAATGAAAGAAAGAAAACTTAATCAGTAACTTTACTGGGTGCTGGTGAATCACACCTGCAATCCTAGCTACTCAGGAGATCAGGAGGATCAAGGTTTGAAGCCAGCCCAGGCAAATAGTTTGTGAGACCCTATCTTGAAAATACCTAACATAAAAAGGGCTGGTGGAGTGGCTCAAGGTGTAGGCCCTGAGTTCAAGCCCTGGTACCGCAAAAAAAAAAAAAAAAAAAGGTGCCCACACCTTCAGCCACTCCACCAACCATTTTTTGTGTGTGTGTGATGGGTTTTTTCGATAGGGTCTTGCAAACTATTTGCCCAGGCTGGCTTTGAACCACGATCCTCCTGATCTCTGCCTCCTGAATACCTAGGATTACAAGTGTGAGCCACTAGTCCCTGGTTGTATCTAGCTTTAGAAACAGAAACTCAAACAATGTCCTCAGGACATTTACCTCTGTGTTGGTTTCACTCTCAAGTGTGTTTTTCCCACTCATTGGTAAAGATGGTCACAAAGCTGTAGTGTTATGATTTTAGCCAGTAATCATAATTCAATGAATCAGGTAGGAGTGGGGAGGGGGGGGAGCGGGGAATTGCTTTTCTGTTCTGACTGCTCCACAAATCTTTGGTAGGATTCTGAATGGCCCTGTTTGTATTGCTTTCCCATCTCTGGGCGAATGAATTCGGACAAAGGAATGAGGCATTCTGACTAGCAGCCTGGGTGCCCTCTCCCACGGGCAAGCGAAATGAAGCTATATGACTGACAATCCAACAAAGAAAGCACCATTATTCCGGGGCTTCAGAAAGGAACATACCAAAAACATAGCTTTATAATAACATAATTCCATATACCTAAAATATAAACAAATCCATTACTTAGAAGCCCAACTATTCCTCAGTTTAATACCTAAAAAATGTCTAAGACCTTAATTAACACATCTACATAAAAATTTTATACAGAGGATTTCTGATACATTTCCAATACAGACCAGTAGCATAATGCCAATGTGGTTTGTGTCTGTGAGGGAACTGAGAAATGCAATCCAAATATACAACTCTTTGTGATTTTTATCCCAAGTTAATGTTTAGCATTGTATGGCAACAGATAGGATGAATTTTCTTTGGATGTTTTTAGTCAAAAATCTTGGTTATAGGGAACAAAAATCCATTCAAACTAGTGTAGCCAGTTTATTGACAGATATAAACAACAAATAAGGAACAATATTGTGCTTCCACTGGTGACTTCAAACATGCTGTCAGTCCCCTTCCTTCTGTTGCCTTGACTACATCTTAATCAGATGCTATAACTTTCTGGACTCTCTCAAGTATAAAAAGTTCCAAGCCAATCTAATAAAAAACTTCTTTCTCACATCCAATTTTAAAAACATCTTTATTAGGATATAAATTACATATAATTCGATTAAAGTGTACAATTAAATGCTTTTAGGATATTCAGAGTTTGCAACCACCACCCAACCAATTTGTGCCTACCAAAAAAATCTTCTAATTTAAAGCTTCTCCCTTTCTTGGTTAGTGATTAGTTACTGCTGGGGAACAAAGTATCATTCATTTTTATCATTTTCCTTGTTATTCAATAAAGTGAAAGGATTACTTTCAATGCTAAAATTGGAAAAGTTGTAAGCACATGAGTATGGCTGGCCACCGTATGAGCAAGTGCTGTAATTCCCCCCCTTTTTGGTGGGACTGGAATTTGAACTCAGGGCTTCACACATGCAAAGTAGACACACTACTGCTTGAGCCACACTTATAGTCCATTTTACTCTGATTATTTTGGAGATAAGGGTCTCACAAACTATGAGTTATCCTCAAACCTTGATTCTCCCAATCTCAGCCTCCCTAGTAGCAAGGATTACAGGCATGAGCCAGTGGCACCAGTTTCTTTTTACTATCTTAAATGTACAAAATGGTGGGTTTCATCATTCACTTTTGCTCGATCAACTGGCCAACCACCACATACTTTATTGTCACCACTTTCCAGGTGTCCTTCAGCAGTATGCTCTTCCATTACTCGTAATGTTAAGTTTCATTACTGGGTTATGATGGCAACAAGAAGACAGTCAAACATAAACTAGAGTTCTACTTTTACAACTAGCAAACAATCTATACCTTTATGTTTTGGTACCAGGTGGATATTTAGCTCCCAACATTCTACCTAAGAGTTTTAGCATTGATTTTTTTTATTATTGTTTTTACATTTACTCATATGTGTTTACATTGTGACACTCCCCCCACCCCCACTTCCAGGCAGAACCTATCCTGCTCTCTGTTCTCCGATTTTATTGAAGAGAAAATGTAAGAGACAATAAGACACAGCATTTTTGCTAGTTTGAGATAAAGATAGTTATACTGAGAGATTCCTAGCATTGCTTCCATGCACATGTGTATTACAGCCCAAATTGGTTCATCTCCACCAGACCTCTTCACTACTTCCCGGTCACCTTCCCATAGTGACCTCTGTTGGTTTAAGTTTATTACATTAACTCCTCTGCGGTGGGCACATCAAACACTTTCAAGTTCTGGGTTTCCTACCTTTCCTATTCCTCCCGTACACGTTCTCCCCTTAGCGTGTGACCCATGTCCAATAATATTACTGCATCTGTTTTAGGTCTAAAGTCCGCACATGAGGGAGAACATACAATTTTTGGCCATCTGAGCCTGGGTAACCTTGCTTAAGATGATGTTCTCCAGCTCCATCCATTTACTTGCAAATGACAAATTTCATTCTTCTCTGTGACTGAATAAAATTCCATTGTGTATGAATACATTTTCTTAATGCATTTGTCAGTAGTGGGCCATCTTGGCTTTCCATAGCTTGCCTAGTGTGAACAGTGCTGCAATAAATACGCGTGTGCAGATGCCTTTGGAATAACCTGAGTCACATTCCTTTGGGTATATCCCTAGGAGTGGTATTGCTGGATCATATGGCAGATCTGTTTAGTTTTTTAATAAGCTTCCATATTGTTTTCCAGAGTGGTTGTACTAGCTTACATTCCCACAAGAAGTGTATGAGGGGTTCCTTTTTCCCCACAACCTCGCCAACATTTGTTGTTGGTGGTCTTTTTGATGATAGCTATTCTAACAGGAGTGAGGTGGAAGTATGGCTTTGATTTGTATTTCTTTTATGGCCAGGGATGGTGAGCATTTCTTCATGTGTTTTTTGGCCATTTGGATTTCTTCCTTTGAAAAAGTTCTGTTATTTCAGTTGCCCATTTCTTTATTGGTTCATTGATTTTGGGGGAGTCTAGTTTTTTCATCTCCCTGTATATTCTGGTTATCAGTCCTTTGATGTATAGCCAGCAAATATTTTCTCCCACTCTGTAGGTGGTCTCTTCAATTTAGAGACCATTTCTTTTGTTTTGCAGAAACTTTTTAATTTCATGTACTATATTGTTTTCTGCTATTTTGTTAGGAGCTTTTGATTCTATATCATAAAGATTATCAGTCTGTAGTTTTTCTTGTCTTGTTTTGGTAATGAAACACTGGCCCCTTAGAATGAGTAGGAAAGCATTCCCTCCTATTCTATGCTTTAGAAGAGTTTGAGAAGGATTGGTGCTAATTCTTCTTTAAGTGTTTCCTAGAATTCACGAGTGAAGTCTGCCTTAACTTTTCTAATAGCTTTATAACAGACTTCCACATCTCTGAATGGTTCATTAATCTTCCCAAAATTGAAATGTCCTTTTCAATGGCTTTTCACCACCTGCTAAATTAAATATGAGTGACTTAACCTGACACTGTACAATGTACATCGCAATATGGCTCTGGATTTAACACTTTATAGCAAACTCTTTCCTTATTTGGATTCTCTATTCTAGTCAAATTAAACTATTGTCTTATTCGTTTTTGTTTTAAAAAATATCCTTTGCACAATTAAGCAGGTACCTTGTAAATGTTTAAATTAAGATGAGAAATATGGAGCTTAATAAACGTCAGTGTTATAATCTTAACTGGTATTTCTCCAAAAATTAAGGGTATTTTTCCTGTTAGTTGTCATAACAAACACAATCATTCACAGATTACACACATGAGATCATTAGTAAACATTTTAAAACAGGACTAAAGTGTAGAAAAACCAAGGTAAGGATTACTTTACGCTTTTTGGGTTTTTTTAAAATATTTACATAGTGGAGAGCAGAAAGTAAGTGTTGCCTTCAAAACCCAATGCCTGGCTTCCAGGGAAAGCTTTTAAAGGGAAGGGTCAGGACAAAATACTAAATATGGTTATATTTCCATATGTATATGATACTGAGTCTAGGAACTTTTATATGTTGCTTCCCAAGCTTAGAGTTGTTGTTTTGTTTTGTTTTTTCTGGGGGTGGAGAAGCAAATATTTTTTAATGGGTATTATTAAAACCTAGAAGTACACTGAAGAATCATGCAATGCTGCCTTCATTGGATGCAATCCTGGGCCAAATGTCTGGATATTCCTTCGCAACTGGTCCTGTGATGACAGAACCTTTCAGCTCACCTTTATTGTTTACTACAACCCTTGCATTATTTTCAAAATAAAGAAACATCCCATCTTTTCTCTGGTATGACTGGTTGTCAGATTACTACCGCTGGATATACGTTCTTTCTGTGCTCTGGTTTGCCTTTCTTGACTGTGGTCATCACCATGTCACCCACACCAACAGATCTCCTTCACAGAATTGATATTAAGACATTTGGCTCCTGTGTTGTCAGCAATTAGTCATGGTTCCTACAGGAAGACTCAGGGAAATGTGGAATTTGCACCAGACCCATCATGCCCTTGCTTCAATATCTTGAATGCCAGAAATGTAAGATAAAGAAAAAATTAAAAAGTCTAAGAATTTTTATGCTGTATCCATTCACTCTGTACTGTTTCCATCCTGCTCAAAGCAATATATCCAATGAATACATAATAAAAAGAGAAACTAAAAAAAAAAAAACCCAAAATCAAACATAATCTCCTTTTTCAGACTTTGCTACAGAATGTACTCAGAATAAGAATAAGAAACTATACCACAATAGAATGAGGATCTTTATTTTACAAATGAAAAGGTAAAATAACTGCTATTGATCCTGAAGTCACAGTCTGAATTCATACCTTGCAGTTGAATTTTCCCCATTCATCAATTAATTCCACTGAAAACTGACTAATCCTCTCTGTGGAAGAAGCATAATACACTTAATCATGGAGACAACAATGGCTGGCAAGACTAAGAAAAGGAAGTGATGTATATGTTCCAATTTCTGTTTTCTTCTTAGAAATATACTTCATGACCATATAAAACTTAAGATTGTCCTGAACAGAGAAGAAGGTTAAAGCTGTGTCACAGAGAATTGCTGATTATACTTCTACCTTCATACTCTGGTATCCTTGTCTCTCAGAGAGGTCTGACTAAACCAGGATATTCTTTGCAATAGCATTCAAAGTCCTTACTTTGGCCACATCTGTTACCTTTAGAGAATATTCTGAATTAGCAAGCGAGGCTCCCATAGCAACAGAGGAATTTCTGTAATTGAAATAACAAATGAACAGTTAATTATGTAAGTTGTTAAATAAGCCCTCTTATGGGTACTTCATTTTACAGGCTATTTCGTGTCTCAAGAATAAGGGAAGGTCAAGGAACCTGGACTAACGTATTCCATAATTTTCATTAATTTATTACTCAAAATATCTAGTAGATGAATCTGCCAGACAGAATACTTGATTTTATATCTGGAAATGTAAGTTCTAAGGCTTTTTTTTTGCGGCACTGGGGCTTCAATTCAGGGTCTCATGTTTGTTAGGTAAGAGCTCTACCACTTGAGCCACTCCATCAGTGCTTTTTTGTGTTGGGGATTTTCAAGATAGAGTCTCACAAACTATTTGTCTAGGCTGGCCTCGAACCAGGATTCTCCACATCTCTGTAATCAAATAGCTAAGATTACAGGTATGAGCCACTGGTGCCAGGAGCTTTTCCTTTTTCTACATTGCATTTTCCCCAACTTATAAATAAATAGGAGGATTCCACATTGCATTTTCCCCAACTTATAAATAAATAGGAGGATTCCACATTGCATTTTCCCCAACTTATAAATAAATAGGAGGATTCCACTATTAAGCTAGAGGAATATATCAAATATATCTATTTAGTATGGCACCAGTGGCTTCCATCTACAATCCTAGCTACTTGGGAGGCTGAGATTGGGAGGATTGTGGATTGAAGCCAGTCTGGACAAATAGTCTGAGAGACCCCATCTCCAAAACAACCAGAGCAAAAAGGACTGGAAGTGTGGCAAGTGGTAGAGTGGCTGCTTTGGAAAGGTGAAGCCCTAAGTTCAAACCCCAGTACCACCAAAAAAAACACCTTTAATTCCTCAATGGTGATGTTGCTTCAAAATAACTGGAAATACAGAGTAAAGGTGAGGGAAGACTGACTAAATATTAACAGTAGGAGGCTGTGACTCTTCTATCCTTATGTCAGCCATTAATTGTGCTAAAAAGAATAGGGAAATGGGCACATGTGAATATGATTCATTTGAAGCTTAGCTGCTAAATTAATTCATTATCAACTACTAAATTCAGCAATGCCTTAATTAGGTAATTAGTTCTATTGAATGAACAGACTAAGCGTCTCTCTATAGAAGTAGCACAGACCAGATTTAACCATGATGGTGGCACAGCTGGTAAGACTAATCAAAGAATATATAAAGATTTGCCTACCTTCAGAAGATATTGCTTATTTAAGACAGAAAAAAAACCATTTTAGAAATGTTTTTCAACTGCAAAAATGACTATACTACTGTCATACTAATCACAACACTCTATTCATTAGCCATGGCACTAAGTTTTCTTTTTTTTTTTTTTTTAAAGTTTTCTTATTTGGCAAAGTAAAGATTAATCTCATTCCTTCTTGTATGAGTCAAAGAACACATTTTTTACCGAAATTTCATTCCCGAGTCTCTAGAAGACCGAGCAGAACAGTGAAATTCTGTAGCACCTGAACCTTCAAGGATCCTTTGCAGATTTCTGTCTGTTATGCCACCTCCTGTCAAAAAAGAACAAATAATGAATGACATGGAATAGAATCTTGCATACCATTTAAAGACTGCTTATTCTACTTGAAATCTCATTCTGAAATTTCTCATTGATTCAAAAATTCCTCTCTCCCTAATCTAAAATAAGGTCAGAAAAATAACTAACCTATACTACAGACTCTGGAGAACTGTTAAGGCCACAAAGCCTATATGACAGAATCTTATATATGCATTGGTTTATATAACGATATTATACATTACTGAGTTTAGATTTAAAAAGACTACTGGGATAAAGAAAATCATTAAATGCTCCATCCCTGCTCTCCCCTAAATTTAAGGAAAATTGAATCAGAATGAAATGCAAGGACAGATTTGACGAAAAGGCTACAAAAGCACCACAGAGACATGCCTGAAAAAGAGAATTTGCAGTTTTCTCTCTGGCCCAGAATTTGAAGAGCACGCTGACTCATGGGAAATGGGAATAAGCATGTTTACAGTTCATTTATTCATTTTATATTTATATATAAAAATCATATTCTGAGTTGATACCAGCAATTATAAATATGAAATTAATTTATTCATCTTTATATCCTTATCTCCTAATATAGATTATTTAATAAATATTTTAAATGATATTAATCATAAACTTTGTAACTCAATTAAAATAATCTATTTTTAATACCCTCTTTCAGACTCATTAATTTTTTGTTAGTGCTACAGTCATATTGCAGAACCCTAAGAAGTAGAAAAGACAAGCCAGGTTTAGTGGTACACAACTATAAAATCAGCATTTGAGGCTGAGGCAGGAGGATCTCAAAATCAAGGCCAGCCTGGGCTATATATAACAAGTTGGATGCCAGCCTGGGTTACATAGGGAGACCCTGTATCAAAAAAAAAAAAAAGAAAGAACATAGGCTGAGAAGTCAGATTTAGATTGGAATCCTGGCTTACCACTGTATCAATAAACAGCTGTGTGGTCTTAGATATGGTACTTACATCTACTGAGCCTCAACTTTTTCACTGAAAAAATACAATTAATACTGCCTATCTCTTGAGCTTGTCATAAGGACTCAGAGACAAATCTACTATTTCCTTCTACAAATGAAACAATCAGGCACTGAAACACATTGCTCAGTTATAAACAACTCTAATACCTAGGAAATATATTTATTTTGCAAACATAGGCTACCATACCTTGATAGGTAAAAGGGGTCTCAAAGAATAACTAGCTCAATATCCTCTATTTTATTTTTATCTTTTTGAAATAGGATCTCACTGTGTTGCCAAGCTAGCCTTGAACTCATGATCCTCCTACCTCAGCCTCCCAAATACCTGAGATTACAGGTGTGCACCACTTCATCCAGCTTTCAGAATTTCTCTTTACAGAAGAGGAAACTGGAGCCTAACTGTATCATAAGCTTCATTATGAAAAGGCTATTACTATGGTCTACATATCTTTATATTTCTTGATGATGAATATTCATTACACAATCAGAATGACTTATCTAGGGATTTTTACTTACTCGCACTTATTTACATGAAATAATAAAAATTTGTATAGATGTCTATTCTGCAAGCTCCTGAAGCAGGATTATTTCATATTCTCTCTATTTTCACATCTACCATATTTTATATACACATATATAATCATAACTATAATTTACATACTTGGCAAGTTTTGTTAAATAAATTAAACACAAATATTTATGTGTGTGTGTATATATATATATATATATATATAAAACATTTGACATAAGACTGTCAGTTTTGTTTTTTTTTTTTAACGCAATTCCTGGGGCGTGAACTCAGGGCCTACACCTCGAGACACTCCACCAGCCCTATTTTTGTGAAGCATTTTTTGAGATATGGTCTTGCAAAGTATTTGCCCATGCTAGCTCTGAACTGCTATCCTCCTGATCGCTGCCTCCTGAGAAGCTAGGATTACTGGCGTGAGCCACTAGCACCTAGCTCAACTGTCAGCTTCTTGAGGAAACAGTTTCTTGTATAACTGCATTCTAAGTAATGTCTTGCATATACCTTAATAATTACATATTAAGTAAAAGCATTCTTAAAGTGAACAACTGTTCACTTTAATAATACCCAGATTTATCTGGGTATTATTTGTCAGACTCTTTAACTCTCTTTAACATTTTCTGATGAGTTTATAAAGGTCTCAATTTTTAGGTAGTGTCTGTTCATGTTTCAGAAACTTCGTACAGATCAAAGCCTTCCTCACAATACCCTGTACCTGGCCTCTTTTAGAAAGCTGGTCTTTTTCTGGTTGTCATCATTTTGAGCCCTGATGAGTACTTGGCATCACTGGTAGTGAGGTGACTAGAGATTGAACACCTTCTGATATGATCTAACAAAGTATGCATAATAACCTATCATTCTTACCCAAATATTTAACCAGAAACTAATCAAACCTCATAATCTAACTATCAGTTTATAGGAAATACAGAGGCTAGAACAAGCTAAACAGTATCAAAAAGAAACAATATGATAAAATCCAGAAAGTATGACATTCTACAGTTTTAAGTGGTCCAAATTTTTTCTTGTTTTGGCAGCACTAGGGATTGAACTTAGTCCAAAGTTTTTTAATGTTCTTTTTTTTAAACAAGAAAAAGAAAAGAAAAAAACTTCTACATTAAAAGACATTAAGAAAGGTAACAATCAATTGCAATGCTGTTCCTTCATTGGGTCTTAGTTTGCACATAATACCTATGAAAAATATTTTGGGGACAATGTGAGAAAGGTAAGTGTGGACTGGGAATTAAATGGTATTCAGGAATTAAGTGTTTATTTTGATAGACATAATAATGATACAGTAGTTATAGTAAAATGGTCTTTTTAAAGAGATGCATAAAGATAAAATGTTAGATACTTTAAAAATTTTAGATCTCTCCAGATTAAAAAAAGACAAATGTTGCAAAATGTTAAATCTAGGGAATGAGCATGACCGCTTTTTATGTTTCAAAAAAGAAAAAACTAAGACTGCCTTTATATTTATCTCACTCTGATTCCAGGTTGTCTAATCTAATTTATTTTTTCTTTCTTCTTTTTTCTTCCTTTTTTTCCCCTCATTGTCTTATCCAATTAAAAAACTTCCTCATCTGTTCATTTCTAGTGAGCATCTGTACTTAACTGCTCTTATGGCTATCATCAGGAGCACGTTCTGAAATTATCCTGGCTACAACAAAGAATTTGTGATCACGGATCTTCAGGAACTGAAAGAGTACTGTATTTATCCAGGATGTTGCCTAAACATTTGACCTCAGCACAGTGTGGCACGTCAAATTTGATGTGCCCCACCAGAGATGAATATCCAAATTCAGAATATCCTATTACTGCAGGAAAGCAAACTCGGAGAAACTCTGATCCTAATCTCCTTCCTTATTTGCTCTTCTCTAAACTAATCCTCATGAGAATATTATCCTTCTTCTAAAGTTTTAAGTTCTAGCATAGATCTCCTAATCTTAAACATTTTGACAAAACTATTTATTCTCTCTAAACACCATGGCCTAATACTTTCTCCTACATTTTCCTGTATCCTTTGCTCTTCTTCCACTATAGTTTAGTGTTATGCTAATAAATGGAGAGATAAATAAATACCTGGCATTACCACAATCCTGCCTTTTGCCTGAAAAAAGAAAAAAAAATCAAATTTTAATATATTTCTCTTAATTGGCAGCTAGAATAGAAACATGATCCAAAATACAATAAATTTTAAAAATGACCAGTAATGTCTAATTTTCGATAGATTCTCTCTATTTGGGGGTAGAAAGTCTTAGGCAATAAAATGTCCAGCATAGTAACTTTCTATCCATAAAGATTTTTATTGTTTTGCTTTAAAATATCATACTATTGAAAGTTCACATATGGATTAGTTTTGTTCCTCTGTAATGAGCTTCTAGTTTTTAGCCCTAGACCTGCTCTGCACCAGTGTCTTATCCATGTGTCCTGACTCTGTTGTCCTTGGACTCCCATTTTGCTTTGGGATTTAAGTTATTATATGTTGTCAATAATATTTAGATGAAAGGTCCAGAAAGAAACTTACCAGGTTTTTTTGTTTGTTTGTTTTCATTTTGTTTTGCCTTTTGAGGTATTATAAATCGTTAACTAGGTTTACCAAGCAGATTTGGTTCAATGACTAGATCTCTTACTGTATTACAGTATAATACTGATCTCAGCCTGGACTCAACAACACAGAGACTAGAATAAAACTGTTATACTGATTAAACAAACAAACAAACAAACAAAAACACCCAAACTTGCAGTGTTACGAATACAAAAAATAGAAGAACACAATATAAGAAAAGCCTTACTGAAAAATAACATCCAATAGGATGGAAGTAAATTAATTTAAATAAGAATAAGCAGAAAAGAAAGCATAACCTAATTGTAAATTACTAGGAGAAAAATCCACTCAAATCTTATATCCTCAGCTAAATTCCCCAGTTTATCATGGCAAGTAAACAAAACCATAGGTCCATTTAACTGGACTATTAGGAATTTATTTAATTTCTGATAATTCTAGAAAATAGGAATTGTGATTCTTATTACTAATTTTTATGATTGTTAACATTATTATTATCTTAAGCACCCATTTATCTTTCCATTTCTCTCCCTAAGTGTTCTTTTCTTGTTTCTCTTCACTAATTAAGATAGTCTAAGCCCCAAATTCTAACTATCCCTTTGAGTCATATTTCTTTGTAAACTCCAGAACATATACACTTATGTATGCAATCGAAACCCATTCCTTTCTCCTGCTAATTCATCTTTTGTCTATATAATTTATAGGTCCCCAGTAACTACACAGAAGAGGGTAAAAGAAAACTTTATCCTTCTTGACATGATGAACAAGAAAAATTTCTATTTTCTTGGAGCTTACACATTCAAGAAGACAGATGACAGATATTTATATTTGTATAATAAAATTACAGATAGTAGTAAGTACAATAAAGAAAAAATAAAGCAAGACAATGAGATAGAAAGTGACAGAGATAAGGGCTTAGACTTTAATAACTTAGAAAAATTAAGTGGAACAAAGATATTCTCAAATGTGTAAAAACAAGACATGCATAAAACAAAATATTTACTATCTAGAAAGTTGAAACAATTTTAGTAGAGGAAAAAAATCACACTTACTTATTTTTTTCCCAAGTGGAGGCTTTCCAAAATAAGGACAAATGATATTTTAAAGAGATTAAATTCTATGATTTTTGTGGCCTTCCATAAAAGATTTTATTTAGAATTCTAAGTTTCTTAAAGCTATTGAAGAGATTTGGCAATATTAGACACAAGGTGTTAGTAATTATCCCTTGTGTTATGGTTTGACTATAAAATGTCCCCCCACGAGCTCATGTATTGTGGACTTGGTTACAGCAGATAGCCTTTTGGGTGAGGGCGGGGGTGACTGGATCATGAGGGCTCTGTCTTCATGAAAGGATTAATCCATTGATGGTTTCAAAATTTGAACAAACTATTAAAAGGTGACAGAACTGTGGAAGGTGGGGTCTGGTTAGATAAAGGGCACATGTTTGGGGGCTATTTCTTGCCCTTGTCCCTTGCTGTTACTGTTCTTTCTGCTTCTTATCTGCCATTCTCCAGTCACCATGATGTTCTGCCTTATCGTGGACCCACAAACAATAGAGCCAAGGACTATGGACTGAAACATCTGAAACCATGAGCCAAAATAAATAACTCTTCCATTTAAGTTGTTTATGTCAGCTGTTTTGTAATAGTGATGAAAATCTGACTAATATACCTTGTAAAGTTATTCTGGGAAGTAGGTGCTGACTTTTTTTTTTTTTTTTTTATCATCCTAACTTTGCAGATGAAGACATTGAGATTTAGGAGGCTTAGGTAATTTGCCCAAGCACACTGTTAATAAATGGCAAAACTAGGATTTAAGCCACGATTCTAATCCCAAAGCCTATGCTTTACTCAGTTTATTATAGTCCTTGGTAGTTACTTCAAGAAGTAAAGTTAATACATGAAAATATTTAACCCAGCTCTTCCTGCCAACCAATGATTAATATACTACTTATATGTGAGAACACACACACACATTTCAAAATGAAATACATGACTATGAGAATTGTATCTATTCTCTATTCCTTGATTGAATAACTGTTTAAAACACGATTCACAGGAACAAGACAAGGGTACCCACTCTCCCCACTCCTATTCAACATAGTCCTGGAATTCCTAGCCACAGCAATTAGGCAAGAAGAAGTAATAAAAGGAATACAAATAGATAAAGAAATTGTCAAAGTATCCCTATTTGCAGATGATATGATCCTATACATCAAAGACCCAAAAAACTCTACCCCAAAACTCTAGACATCATATCAGCTTCAGCAATGTAGCAGGATACAAAATCAACTTACAAAAACATAGCCTTTCTATATACCAACAATGACCAAACTGAGAAAGAATATAGGAAAACAATTCCATTTACAACAGCCTCAAAAAAAAATCAAATACCTAGGAGTAAACTTAACAAAGGATGTGAATGAACACCACAAGGAGAACTACAAAACTCTGAAGAAAGAGATTGAGGAAGACTACAGAAGGTGGAAAGGCCTCCCATGCTCATGGATTGGTAGAATTAACATAAAAAAATGGCTATACTACCAAAAGCAATCTACATTTCAACTCAATTCCCATCAAAATCCCAATGACTTTCTCACAGAGATTGAAAAATCTACCCTAAAGTTCATTTGGAAACACAAGACACCACAAGTAGCCAAGGCAATACTCAGCAAAAAGGAATGCTGGAGGTATCACAATATCTGACTTCAAACTATATTACAGAGCCATAGCAATAAAAACAGCAAGGTATTGGCACAAAAACAGATATGAAGACCAGTGGAACAGAATAGAGGACCAGATATGAATCCATACAGCTACGACAACCTTATTTTTGACAAAGGTGCCAAAAACATACAATGGAAAATAGATAGCCTCTTCAATAAATGCTCCTGGGAAAAGTGGTTATCTGCCTGCAGAAAACTGAAACTAGATCTATGCCTATCACCCTGTACTAGTATCAACTAGTATTAAGGATTAAGGACTTTAATATCAGACCTGAAACTCTAAAGTTAGTACAGGAAAGAGCAGGGAATACTCTGAAAGCAATGGGTATAGGCAAAGAATTCCTCAGTAGAATTCCAGCAGCCCAGCAACTAAGAGAAAGGATGGACAAATGGGACTACATGAAACTAAAAAGCTTCTGCACAACAAAAGAAATGGTCTCTAAACTGGAGAGACCACCCACAGAGTGGGAGAAAATACTTGCTGGCTATACATCAGACAAAGGACTGATACCACAATATACAGGGAGCTCAAAAAACTAAACTCCCCCAAAATCAATGAACCAATAAAGAAATGGGCAACTGAACTAAACAGAACTTTTTCAAAGGAAGAAATCCAAATGGTCAAAAAACACATGAAAAAATGCTCACCATTCCTGGCCATAAAGGAAATGCAAATCAAAACCACACTAAGATTCTACCTCATTCCTATTAGAATAGCTATCATCAAAAACACCACCAACAACAAATGTTGGTGAGGATGCAGGGGAAAAGGAATGCTCACACATGCTGGTAGGAATGTAAGCTAGTACAACCACTTTGGAAAACAATATGGAAGCTTATTAAAAAACTAAACATAGCTCTGCCATATGATCCAGCAATCCCACTCCCAGGGATATACCCAAATGAATGTGACTCAGGTTATTCCAAAGGCACCTGCACACCCATGTTTACTGCCACACTATTCACATTAGCCAAGTTATGGAAACAGCCAAGATGGCCCACTACTAACAAATGGATTAAGAAAATGTGGTATTTATATACAATGGAACTTTACTTAGCCACAAAGAAGAACAAAATTTTGTCATTTGCAAGTAAATGGATGGAACTGGAGAACATCATCTTAAGTGAAGTTAGCCAGGCTCAAAAGACCAAAACTCATGTGTTCTCCCTCATACACGGATTACAGACCTAAAACAAATGCAGTAATATTATTGGACATTGGTCATACACTAAGGAGAGAACGTGTACAGGAAGAATAGGGAAAGGAAGGAAAAACCTAAAACTTGAAAGTGGTTGATGTGCCCACTGTAGAGGAGTGAATAAAGTAACCTTAAACTATGGGAAGGTGACTGGGAAGTAGTGAAGAGGTCTGGTAGAGATGAACCAATTCGGGTTGTAATACACATGTGCATGGAAGCAATGCTAAGAATCTCTCTGTGTAGCTATTTTTATCTCAAGCTAGCAAAAATGCTGTGTCTTTATTATTATCTCTTATGTTTTCTCTTCAACAAAATTGGAGAAGAGGGCAGAACAGGTTCTGCTGGAAGTGATGGGGGTGGACTGGAGAGGCAGAGGGGTGAGAGGGCAGGAGGGAGAGATGGCCCAAACAATGTATACACATATGAATAAATGCATAAACAATTTAAAAATGGAAAAAAAATAAAATCTGATACATCAACTCTTCTATTTTAAAACATTTTAGGCTTCCCCAGTGCACCAAGGTTTAAATAAAAATGCTATTTTGTACAGTTTTCAAGGTTCTAGGTATGGTTCTTCTCTCCACCTTCAACAGTCTGACCATTCTTAATTATCTTCAGTTATGCTTATTTTTGTTTCTAGGTCTTTGGATATACTATTTCTTCTGTAGGAACACTCCCACTCTCTCTGCTTTCACAGAATAATTCCCAACCATCCTTCCAATGAGTAAGATGTTGATATATGGATACTTTTTCGTCCTGGAAGCTTTCCCTAACTATTGCCAACCTTTATTCCCCAAATTTGGGGTTAATTCCTCTCCAGTGTGCCTCCACAGCACTTTTTTTAAAGTAGTCTGTTAAAAAGTTACTATTGTACATTAGACTGTAGGGCAGTGACTACATCACATGTGTACATATGTGCACATAGCCCTTGGTTACTATAGTACAAATATTCTGCACTGATACATACTTAAAAAACACTTATAAAGTCAGCAAGTCATATCAGATCCTTAGGTGAAATATCTGAAAGTTATTTTCATGGTTATCAAAACGCAAAAATAATCAGATATCCGTACAAGAATGCTAAATAGTATTATTCATAAAAACAGTAATAATAAAAAAATATGTTACAAGACATAATATATGCCAAGCACTGTGCTAAGGCTTACATCTTATCTCTTTCAATCCTTAGGGAAAACTTATAAAGAAAATTAAATTCTTCTCAATTTGACACATAAGGAACAGAGGCATAAAGACTGGTAACCTACTCAACATCACACAGCAAATAAAAGTCAAACCTGAGTCTCAAACACATACATGTTCTTCCACCTCAAAGCCTGTACTCACTAACTTAGAATCTCTCTGGACTGGTTAGAAAATGGAGATATACTTCAATTACAAAGTCATCTCTGCCAGGAAGTGAGGGGGGTGGGGGGAGAGGAAGGGGGTAAAGGGCATGGGGGTCGAAATGGCCCAAACAATGTATGCACATACAAATAAAAAAAAAGTCATCTGATTGCAGATGATTGCTAGCTCATTAGAACTCATACAAAAGAAAAATATATTTTCTCCTAAATTGACATGGGAAAATTAAAGAAGAACATAATTTTAGTTCTAGATTATACCCATAGATAAGTACCTCATAAATTTTATATGGGATCCCCTGAATATACATGGGCTAATAATGAAAAGATATAGCTTAAAATGAGGCAATGCTGATGGCATGTGGTCATCTAAGATCAGATCCTTAAGCACTGTCTATAATTTGATCAGAAGAGTCTTGGTTATCAAAAACACTCATGAAAGAAGTAAGAATTAAATAAATACATCATTGCCCATTTGCTTTCTCCTGTAGAGAACCTTGCTAAAAGACAAATGTCAGGAGTAACCACAGTCTGAAGAAGAAAGAAAAGAGATTGCTTGTACCTGATCTATCAGTCGCTTTATCAGAGGTAGCCCTTCTAGTGCCGAACTATCACATCCACTGGTCAATACTCGTTCAAACCCCAAGGTTAAGAGGGTCTCTAGCGCTGCCACTGGATCATGAACCATGTCAAAGGCTGAAATAAATAAAACTGATTTGAATTTTGAGCAGATATCCTCTAATGCAATGTTTTCCAAAATGTAGTATACACTCGGGCATAGATTGACCCCACCTGATGATATGTTTCTAGAAGTGGATGGGCAAGGTGACTGAACATTGGGCTGTTGCAATGATGGTGGGAAAGATCCTTTTCTTGGTTGCATGTCTGCCAGTAATCCTTTCCCTGAAAAAGAAAGACTATGATATGGGCTGGGGGTATAGCTTGGTGGTAGAGTACGTGCCTAGCATGCATGGGGCCCTGGGTGAGATCCCCAGCACCAAAAAAGAAAACAAGATTATGCTAAAGAATAATTTGGAATAAGTCACAAGAAAGGTTTAGGAAGTGTTGGATTTTAGATGAGTGTGGCTTTCAGTGTCTTCCCTGAGATGATCTCCCACCCTGTACTGCAGTACCAGCCTCTAGTGAACATGTTGTGAGCAAATTGTAGCATGCATATCAAACCGTGTTCTGAGGAAAAGCAAGATCTAATGGGTGGGGAAAGATTAAATATTTCTGTTTTCTGAAAACAATTATTTTGCATTTGTTTTCTATTAAATGTATTAGTTTCAAAAAATGTAGTATACATACAGTGTTGTACTGGACCTAGCTTATACTTGCTTTCAAGAGCCAATTGTGAAATATTAAGGTATTTTGTAAGTCATGTTATTAACTCATTGGCATCTTGAAATAAGTCAAGACAGAGTACTTAAATCATGGAAATAAGAAAATGCTACCAATCAGAATTCCTTTTTTTCCAAGAGCTAATTTACCATAGTCTGCACACCACTGGAAATATGCATGACCATTTTATTAGCAGACATTTTTTTTTTTGGCAGTAGTGAGGTTTGAACTCAGGGCCTCACACCTACTAGGCAGGTGCTCTACCACTTGAGCCACTCTGTCAGCCCTTTTTTGTGTTGGGTATTTTCGAGACAGGGTCTCTTGAACTGTGAACCTCCTGATCTCTGCCTCCTAAATAGCTAGAATTACAGGCATGAGCCATCAATGTCTAGGTGAGGTCTTGCTTTTTTTTTTTTTTTTTAACAAGGGCCAGCCTGGACCTTGATCCTCCTACTTCGTCTCCCTGGGCAGTTGGGATGACAAGTTCATAGCACCACATGCAACTTCAGTATTTAGTTGGGGTTCTCGATAACTTTTTGGCCAGGCTGGTCTTGAACCGCAATTTTCTGATCTCTGCCCCACCCAAGCAGGTGGGATTATAGGCAGGACTATAGGCCTGAGCCATCCTGCCAAACTACACACATTTTAATAGGTGTATTTACTTAAATGCAGGGAAGAGGCAAAAAGTTTCAAATTTTCAGTAATTATAATTAAACAAAAAACTTACTTAAAATTTTAAAATTAATTTTATTAGTGTATATTAATGTACAAAGTGAGAGGTTTCATTGTGGTATTCCATACGTGCATATAATGTACTTTGATCTTATTCACCCCTTCTATTATTTTTTCTTATCCCCCCCTTAAATTTTTATTTAAAGAAAATTATTAAATATATTTGTACAGATAGCATTCAAGATATACCAAAGTTGTAAGTGTGTAGATAAGTAACCAAATTTGAGAAACTGCTAAATCTTCAAACAAACTGTACTACATAAAATGAAACACAATACTCACCAGTCCTAGGAAAAAACCTTGGCTTACATCCTCATTTTTGACTAATATTTTATGTTAATCCATTTACCTGACACACTCAAGGGTCATAGTATAAGGAGAGTTGTTTTCAATAGACTATATGAGGTTTCAATTCCATCCTTTCTACAAAACTTCCCTCTTCAAGTTTGGCATGGTGGTACACACCCATAATCTCAGCCCTCTGGGGGCTAAGGATTGCAAGTTCAGTGACAGTCTGGGATACACAGACCCTCCCTTAAAAAAATAAAAAAGAAAGATACTTCCCTTTTTAGAACACTCAAGAGAGTAAAGTGGCCTAGGAACCAAACCTCAAAATGGAAAAACTACTTCTGCTTTGGTTCTCAGCACTGCTATATGACATAGAAGTTCCAATCTATGGTGGATTAGGTGGTAGTGGTCCTCTGGGAGAAGCCCCCTTTTTGGTGCTGTTTAGTGTATGTAGGCAAGCTAAATCTACTAGAGAGGATTTCCCTTTTTATTGCATGCTCATACCATCTCATTGAATAGATGACTGGAAAAAACGTGGCATGAACGATAATGCAAAATTCCTATAAATTTTGAAAACATGAACATATTTTTGCTATATTTATTGGAGAAAAAAATTTGAAGACTTTTTTAAGAACAGAAAAATATAGTCTGTAAAACCAGTTTACTTTTTAAATTATTTTGCTTGTCAAATTTTTTAAAACTTTATTTTCAGGCACATATGAATAAAATAAAAATTAAAATTAAAAAAATTTATTTTCAGAAGAATGTGCATAATAAAAAATGCTTTTCAAGTTTAAAAACTTTCTTCATGTCTGGCTTGCCTTAAGTTGCTGACTTTTAAGTAACCTAATGTGTTAGTTACTGCTAATTTATAAGAAGCATTACTAACATCAAGTGAAAGAAAATAGTTTTCTGGTAGTCTCATATATTTCAAAAAGAAATACAACAAATATTAACTTATCCTTAATTTCTATAAATAGATGCAGATGCTGGTATTCACTCATTCTTAGTCTAATCTCTGAATGCTAACTTAAAAGGAAGAACATCAAGAAAAATATTTAACACTTTCTCAAGCATATCATCAATTTTTTTGAATTAAGATTTTGTTTTTATGTGCAAGAGCAGGGCCCTCTGAGTGCAAAAGTGACACTTGTTCCTCCATTTTTCCAAGGCTTAGCAAGGCTTAGCCAAAGAATATGGGAACCATAACCACCTGAATTATAGATAGGAAGCATTTCTTTACATGATGCAGATAAGCTATCAATCAAGAAAAGCAATTTCGTATATTTGTTCATTGACTATTGGCATTTATTTCTTCTTTTTCTCTTCCTAAAAATGTCCATTTTTTTCTTCAGCTATCCACCCCTCTCCCCACAGGAAGCCTCTATATGAGAAACATGACCTCACTCCCAGCTCCAGGAATAGATTTGTCTGGCATAAGCCAGCACATTTCATTGGCCAGTGATTTATTCTTTTTAAGGCTGCTAATGATCGAAGGCAATCTAACTGAAATGAATCTCAGGATTATTACTTGGATGGGTACATGCACTTATAAGCAATACTTACTCCTTCTTCTCTATTATATTCTACCACCACCGACTTTTAATAACTTTTTGTAATTCAGCCTTCACATTTTCACATTGTATAGGATCTATACAATTCTAAATTTGAAACTTTTCATTCCAAGATCTATGACACCAACTAGTAACACAGTAAATAGTATTCCATAGAAAGGTTGTGGCATCTGGTGAAATTAGAAAACTGATGTTCAAATGGAAATGACTCACCTCGGTGGAAAGTGACTGGCAGAGGACGGCAAATAGCTATAAAAAGAAAGTCATGTAACAACATGAATAAACAGGACATCACTAATTACCATATATAGAAATCTTCATGTCAGTTGAAACTTTTATGCTTTCTTCTCCTAAGAAGATAGTAAACTAAAATAGTAATAAAATGGTGGCCTTCCAAATTCAAACGTCCTATCTTTCCTCTAAGCTCTGATTTTTATATAAAAATGGTCATCCATGCCTTAGAGGCATCAAATAAAAATGGCATGATTTGGCAACTATAAGACAGCATTCCATTTATTATTTGCTCCTCTGAGGATCTTTAAGAAATACTTTGGCACAGTAACATAAGTAGTTGGCTTCTAACCTCACCGTCTCTCCCCAGAGTCAATTGCAATAGTTTCAAAAGTTTTAGTGTAGTGCTTAAAGGAACCTAAGTAAACTTCCCTTAAAACCTGTAAGAACCATATGAGAACCTGATCTACAGCAACTGAGGAGAGTTAGGAGGGCTTTGTGCTAAATAACTACTGTTTAAAATAGGTAGGTTAGTATAAATGTCTGCAGGTATGACTGAAAGTCAGTTATGTGATGACATTTTCCTGCATTGGGAGCATACATACAGTCATCATTAGAGGTTTTTACATCTCAGAGACAATTTCTTACCCACAAGGGACATGCACAGCTCTTTGTCAATGTGTCCATCTTCAGTCAACGCCCCAAACACCAAACCATCAGCACCATAAAGCTTGGCAAGCCGTATGTCGGTCTTCATCACCTCAATTTCACGATCTGAATATAAAAAGTCACCTCCACGTGGCCGAATCATCACAAAAACTGGAATCTGGACACTCTGTTTCACTACTTGAAGGACACCTATGAGAACAGGAAGACTAGAATTCAAATGTGAGCATAAAAAGCTCTAGGAAGTTAAAAAAATATTATTAGTCATGTATACTTGTTCTTATGTATTATTTCCAAAATAAAAGGGACAACTGACTGAGGAAATTTGAGAAAGTTGATATATAAAATGAAGGAGAATACTAAGAAGGAAAATGTATGCATGATGGAAGGCAAATAATAGAAAAGTCAAGGATTCAAAAGAGAAATTTAGAAAACTGAACATATTGCATTTTAAAAGCACCTGTCAGTTGACACAACGAAAAAATCCTTATGACTAAGAACACTTTTACTGGCGCATGACATTTGAAAGTATATTTACTACCAAGCTCAATGTCTGCCAGTATATTCCCCAAGATCCAGTTTCCCCTTCATATGTTCAGACGTAGCCCAGGGTGGTCTTGAACTGCCAATCCTCTTGCCTCAGCCTCCTACATGCTGGGATTACCGGTATGCACCATCATGTCCAGCTCTCCTTTCTTCTTGATTAAGGCTGAATTTAAAATCTACTAAAGAGATGGTTAAGTAGTTCCAAAGTTTATGTTCCTTTAATGAATAAAGAAATTTAGTAAAACCTTTTTTTGAAAGAGGTATATGGGACTACTGCTGTGTCTCAAGTAATAAAGCACTTGCCTAACAAGCATGAGAGGTCCTAAGTTCAATTACCAGGAATGGAAAAAAAAATAGAGAGAGAGAGAGAAAAAAGAGAAAGGTGAAAGGGAGCAAAGTTCTATATATTTCTGATATTATGCTGAGATGTCTGAAAAAAAGTATCTATTACACAATGATCAGTTATCTTAGAAACCCTCAACAGTATGAGATCTGTGATAACCACCATTAGTTGCTGGCCCAATGTGAATTTCTTTTTTTTTTCTTTGCTAAAAGAACCCTAAATTTGCACAGCATAACAATATGCCCAATATCAAGGAATGAATTATGATTGATATTGCAAAATCAGACTACACTCAGATTTACAGATATATTCTAGAGATTTTAGAATAGCCAGGGACTGCCTCCTTTTAGTGAGCAGATTCCAAAGGGCTGCTCTCTCTATATACACTAAATAATGATGTCATCAATCTCTGAATAGCATAAATCAGGAATCAAAAGTTCGTATTAGGACTTCTGCATTTGGACAAGACAGCATAACAGGGACTAGATTACCTTTCCTTCCTATAATAATCTAATTATGGACCAAATATATAAAGCAATGGTTTGTAAGACACTAGACATCAATCTGCAAAAGACAGTGATCCCTGAAAGAAAACAAGTGAGGTGAGCTCTATCATTGACCCAGTTTACTGCCTTGACAGTTTCTAAGCCACAGAACAGAGAGGGGGAACCTAGGTGGAGTCTAGAAAATTCTCAGTTGAGGAGACAAAGGTGAGAGTCCAAAGCTATAATCTGCAGAAGAAAGTACTGGCAAGGAAAGAAAGAGATCTCTGGGGATCTATAGAGAATCCCTTCTACTATTTAGCTAAGGACTGACTGGTATGTGCAGGCAAAGAAACTACACAAGCCTAGGGGAAGAACCACTGAACAGGATTGGAAATAATGCGCCTGTCACACACACCATGCTAAGAATAATACCTGCTCCCCAGCCAGGTAGGAAAGCTTTAAGAACCATGGGCACTGAGGAGAGTATACATAGTCTTGCCTCAGTGGTAAGGAATAAGCTCTGGATTGACTACTGCTTCAGAATTGCTTAATGAGTCCTAAAAGCAAGACCTAAAAGTTTCAAACTGCTTCCAAGAAATCTAATTGATCAAGAATATTTAAAGAAATGAAAAAATATCAGTAACCAATAAATAAAATGCATAACGTATTATATGCAGTAAAAAATGACTAAGCAAAAAATAAGACATATCACTACATAAATCAATCAAACCCAGAACTGACAGATATTAGAATGAGCAGGAAAGGTCATTAAAACAGCTATTATGGGCTGGTAGAGAAGCTGAAGTGGTACAGTGTCTGCCTAGCAAGTATGAAACCTGGTGTTTAAACCTTATTACCACCACTAGAAAAAAAAAAAAAAAAGCTGTTATAACTTTATGCCATATGTTCAAAAAAGTTCAGAAAAGACACTAGAGATATAAAAACAGACTCAATTTTCTTATAACTACAATGTGTGAAATGAAAAATATCATAGGGCAGCAGGTCTATCAGGAGGATCGAGGTTCGAAGCCAGCCTCAGGCAAATAGTTCAAGGGACTCATCTCAAAAATACCCAACACAAAATAGGGCTGCTGAAGTGGCTCAAGTGGTAGAACGCCTGCCTAGCAAGCATGAGGCCATGCGTTCAAACCCCAGTCCCACCAAAAAAGAAAAGAAAAAAAAAATACAGAAGGTAGGATTAAACACTGCAGAAGAAAATAATCTTTTAAAGTATAAGAATTATGCAAAATGAAATATGGAAAGGAGAGTTGTTTTTTTTTTTTAAAGAGCAGCTCATCGTTGAGTTGTGCAACAATTGCAAGTCATCTAATACAAGTAAAACCAAAGTCTCTGAAGGGGACTGCAAACAATTTGCAAATTTTCCAAATGTGATGAAAAGTATAACTACACAGATCCAAGAAACATGAAGAAAACTTCCCTGAGGCACATAATAATTGGACTGTTCAAGCTAGGAATGGAGAAAAAGAAATATTTTTTGTTGGCAGTACCAGGGTTTAAAACCAGGGCCTTGTGTTTGCTGGGCAGCCACACTTGAGCAATGTTCCCAGTTCTTTTTGCCTTAGGTATTTTTTTGGATAGGGTCTCCCCATTTATTCCCAGGCCAGCCTGGACCGCAATCCTCCTGTTCATGTTTCTTGTGTAGGTGGGATGACAGGAATGCACCACCATGCCCAGCTTTTTGTTGAGATATGGTCTCACTAACTCTTTGCCCAGGTTGGCCATGAACTATGAGCTCACAATCTTTGTTTTCTGAATAGCTAGGATAATATGAGCCACCATGCCCAGCTGAAAAAAAAATCTTAAATGCAAACAAAGAGATATATTATAAGAGAAATACAACAATAAGGATGATAGATTTCTTTTCAGAAACAGCATAACAAGAGGACAGTGAAAAACATCTTCAAAGAACTGAAAGAAAAAAATAAACCTCATAACTTAGAATTCTGCACCAAGCAAAAATATCTTTCCAAAATAAAAGAGAAAGGTATTTTCATACACATAAAATCTGAAAGAATTGTTACCAGAAAACTTGTACTACAAAAAATGTATGGCTGATGATATAGCTCAGTGTTAGAGTAAAATTAATCAGACAGAAATATGAATTTATAAAAAGAAATGAAAATCAGAAATGTTAGCTACACAGGGTTGACAGTTTTCTTACTATTTGAGTATCTTTAAGAGATAATTGGCTTTTCAAACAGAAATAACAATATAGCACGGGGATTCTAACACATGTAGAAGTAAAATGTATGACAACAGTAGCACAAAGCCAGGAGGGAAGAAATAAAGACAAAAATCAATAAACTGAACATGCCAGTATAGAAACATAGTGGCACAGGTTTGTTTTGTTTGGTTTGTTTATTGGTTTTTTGCAGTGCTAGGGATTAAACTCAGGGCCTCATATATGCTAAGCTCAGTACTCTACAACTGAGCTACATCCTCAGCCAAATAAACATTAAATAACACCACGTATATAATCAGCAAAACTTCTTACTACACAAAGCTGAATCAGTATTAACAGTAACAGATATTTAAGGAAAAATGTGTTTGATCAAATCTTTGATTATGTGATTTACAACCATAAGCATTTCTAACTGGTACAATATCCTCAATATAATTATTAGTATAGAATCCCAATGAAACTGATAACCAGCTGCCACTAAGCTCTGTAAACTCCTATGAGAAAGATCTATGAAAAATAAACACGTACCCATACTGGGTGTGGTGCCTCCCTCTAATAAACCAGAACACAATTCAATTCGACCAGCACCTGTGATGAAAAAGCAATGTTCAACACAATTTCTTAGAAGCTCTTATTAAATAGCAAACTATTTACATTTGTCCAAATAGAGAAGAACCTTAGAAGTTGCCTAAGAGAAACCAAATTATAAAATTACAGTAAAACTATTTTTAATTTCAACTATACAACTCACATTGCATTACTGCTTTAAATTTAAGAGTTAAGTTTTCTGGGTTAACTACAACCTTACAGGAAGTACAATGGTCAGAGAAACACAGTGGCACAGTTAGTTAGTTTGTTTTTATGGTGCTAGGGATCACATTCAGGGCCTCATATGATAAAGCAAGTGCTCTACCGCTAAGCTACATCCCCAGCCAAATAAACATTGTGACACAACTTACATAATCAGCAAAATTGAGACTGTGGTCCTCTGTCTGTAACAAATCAATTACAAAAAAAGAAGGAAAAGAATTTTTTTTTTAAAAGAGGAAACCTGTATGTTGAAATGGACTTAAGAGACATATCAGCTGGGTGCTGGTGGCTCATGCCTATAGTCCTAGCTACTCAGGAAGCCAGAGATCAGGAGGATCACAGTTCAAAGCCAGCCCAAGCAAACAGTTCATGAGACCCTATCAAAATATCCTTCAGAAAAATAGGGCTGGTGGAGTGGCTCAAGGTGAAGGGCCTGAGTTCAAGCCCCCGATACCACAAAAAAAAAAAAAAAAAAAAAAAAGGAGACATATCAAACAAATGAAATATTTGGATCAATTCAAAGAATCGGTTTTTTGTTTTTTTAAAAACCCTCTATGAGCACATATGAATAAAATAAAAATTAAAAAAAAACAACAACCCTCTATGAAGTCAATTAGAGAAATCTGAAAACTTACTGGATACTGACAATATTAAGAAATTGCTTCTTTCAATGAGCATGGTAGTTCAAATTTGTAATCCCGTACTTGGGAGGCAGAGATTGGTGGATCACAGTTTGAGGCCAGTCTAGGCAAAAAGTTCAAAAGACCTCATCTCAACCATGGCTGGGTATGGTGATATGTGCCTGTCATCCAAGCTACTCAGGGAAGCACAAATAGAAGGATTATAATCCAGGTTGTTCAAGGCAAAAAGCAAGACCCTCTATCAAAAATAACCAATGTAAAAAAGGATGGTGGAGTGGTTCAAGTGGCAGAGCACCTGCCTAGCAAGCATAAGACCCCAAGTTTAAAACCAAGAGGACCACCAAAAGCAAAACACTGTTTTTAATGGTGTGTTAGTGATATTATTTAAGAGGCTGTATCTGAAACAATATGCACTAGTAATTTTCACTTTATAGATACCTAGTGTATATGTAATATGTAAGTCCTCTGAAAACTGAAAAAATTGAAACAACATAAATAGAACCCTAATCTTTTAGAGGTATATTCAGATACAGCGAAGGATGAAATTCCATTGTGTGTGATTTGCTTCAAAATAATCTGGAGTTGGGAGAAGGCAGGAATACAGACAAACTATAGGCCTGCACAAAGGCTTTTGTTATGGCCTGCAAACTAATGATGTTTTGTTTGTTTCTGTGGTATTTGGGCTTGAATTCAGGAACTTGCACTTGCTCAGGAGGCACTCTACCACTTGAGCTGTGCCTCCAGCCCTTTTTTATCTGGTTATTTTTCCAATAGGGTCTCATGTTTTTTGCCTATGGCAGGCCTCAGACCATGACCCTCCTACCTATGCCTCCCAGTAGTTGGGACCACAGATGTGTACCACCAATGCCTGGGTTGTTGGTTGAGAAGGGGTCTTGTAACTTTTTTTCCCCAGACAAGCCTCAAACTGCAGCCTCCAGATCTCTACTTCTGAGTAACTAGGATTACAGAGATGTGCTGCTGTGCTTGTTTTTCTTGCTTTGTTTTGTTTTTTTGCTTTTTAGACAGGGTTTCTCTACGTAGCACAGGCTGGCTTCAAACTCACAATCCTACTGCCTCAGCCACCCAAGTGCTGAGATTACAGGCATGTGCCACTCTTGTGAATTAAAAAAAAAAAAAGAAAAAAAGCTGCTTTCTTTTTGACATATAACTCATATACCTTACAATCCACCCAATAGAAGTGGGCAATACAAGACTCTTTAGGATACTGAATTTTGTATGCATCACCACAATTAATTTTAGAACATTTTCATCATCACCCAACTACTCCATACAGTCACCTCCCTTGTCCCCCATGCCTCTCAGTCTTAGGCAACCACTAATCTAGTTTCTCTCTCCATAAATTTGCCTATTTTTAGACATTACATGTAAATGAAAATCATACCATGTGGTATTTTGTGACTGGTTTCTTTCACTTACAGCAATGTTTCAGGATTCATCGATGTTACAGCATGTATCAGTATACTTCATTCCTTTTTATTGCCAAATTAAGAGAGAATTTTATGAGAAGAGTAAGTGACAAAGAACAAATGTGTCTGGCAAAGCCAAAAATATGTACAATGTGGCTCTTTACCAAAAGAAAACTTTGATTTTTCTCTACTTTTGTATAAGTTTGAAATGTGTCCATAAAACATTAAAAATTTTTCTGATGCCAAGATGGCAGAAATATCTATGCTTCCAATTAAAATAAGTTCAGAATACAAAAGAAAACTTGGAATAAAATAATGTCTGGACTTGGAGTGTAGCTCATGGTAGAGTGCTTGTCTAGCATGCAGGAGGCTCTGGATTTGACCCCTAGCATTGCAAAAATAAATAAATAACTTTTTTCTTTTTCTTGTGGTGCTAGAGATTGAACCCAGGGCTATGTGCAAGCTACACAAGTGCTCTATCACTGAGCTATACCCCTACTCCTCTACAAAACTATCTTTAAAACAATAATTTGAGATGTTTAATTTTTGTTAAAATCAATAAAATTATCAAGTTAGCGAGTAAGCACTACTGTTGACGCTTGACTCAAGCTGTGACCTGCTTGGGAAAGAGAGAGATTAGATCATAATTTTCTAGTAGGTTTTCTTTTTCTTTTTTGAGATAGCACCTTGCAATGTATGTACCCCAGGCTGGCCTGAGACTGGCTATATAGTCCACACTGACCTTGAACTCTTTTTGGTTTTGGTGGCGGTGGTACTGGGGTTTGAACTCAGGGACTTGCACCTGCCAGGCAAGTGTTCAACCACTTGAGCCACTTCACCAGCAAGGCCTCAAACTCTCTATCCTCTTGTATCAGCCTCCTAAATGCTAGGATTACAGGCCTGTATCACCCATGCCCACCTTTCCAGTAGATTTTCTAGTTGGTTGTCTTTGAGAGGATTATTAGGATCCTTAGAGATGCCAAGAGATTTTGTAGTCAGTTCACTGGATTCACTTTCAGACTCTTACAGGGGTTGTCAAATGTCACTCATTATCTTAATTTCTCTTACCTCCTCTTTCTGCATTCACAGCTGACTCAACTGAATCAACACATACTTCCATGAGAAATCCATTTGCTGCTCCTAAAATACATGGAGAACAACAGACATTCATGAAGGTACTATCCACTCAGACCAATCTCCTGTAAATATTTTGCTGCCAAAATCTACATGTCCAATAATATGGAAACAGATAAATACAGTAGGGCCTATGAAAGTAATAAAATACCACACTAATTATTAAATTGATGTCTCTGGACTATGAAATAAATACACAGACATATGCATAAAAAAATCAAACTGAGGAAAAAATACACTGAATGCCAACACAAACCTCATCATTGCCTCCCAGCTCAATATTTTTAATTAAAAATATTCAGGGCTGGAGGTGTGGCTCAAGTGGTAGAATGCTTGCCTAGCAAGTGCAAGGCCCTGAGTTCAAACCCTAGTACCACCAAAACAAAACAAATAAAAATACTGATGTTTCTCAATGCCTTTATAAGAAATACATGTTTAAAGGCAAGGATGGACTTAACATACTGATCCCACCATTTATTTATCATGTGTGACCATAGACAAGTTACTTAAGTTTTCTATAAAACACGGTAGGTTTTAGTTCTCAGCACAGTGAAGACTGAATGAGATAATTTGTGCAAAGGGCATAATACTAACAGCCAAAAAACATTATCATTAATACACTACACATTACTTCCTCTTTATTTCTCCAGGTCTCTCCAATCTCCACCTCTGCTATTGCTTAAACCATCTCCTCAACCAACATAATCCTTCTAGCTTCATCTTTAAATGCTAAAGTTTTCCAAGATTCATGTCAAGTCACATTTCCATACTCTTTTCCTCTCCAAAATGGGAAATTATCCCACTCTTCTGAACTCATATAGCTCTTCCTCCACACACACTGGCATGGGGATGGAAACTTGGACCTTGTTCACGCCAGGCAAGCGTGAACTCACCTAACACTTTGTAAGTTATATATTCCTCTTTAAAAGCTTCTCATTAAAACACTAATTACTACTTTTTATTTATGCAGGTAAATGTCTGATCATTCTTAGTTGAAGTGCTTAAAGTCTCTAAGTGAGAAATTTTTATCTTCACCCACAGCAATGGTCTACAATATTAACAGCAGTCACACAAATATTTACTAACAGCTAAATAATTACAAATTCTTACACTGATACTAAAAAGCATTATGCAGTGCTGAGAGCATAGCTCAGGTGGTTGAGTGTTTACCTAGCAGCACAAGGTCCTGGGTTCAATCCCTAGTGTTCCCCCTCATCAAAAAAAAAGATGATACAAAGAGTTGATACTTCATGTAATCATCCCTGGAAGAATGCTCATCACCCAGTGGTAATGGTTACCACTGGGTGGTGGACTTGGAAATATTTTTACTTTGTTCTTTTTACTTTTCTCTTTTGTTCGAATTTTTCTACTCAATATTGCTTTTATAATGAAAAGTCCAATGAAAAGTTGTTAACTTATGCTCTTAACCTATAACATTCTGGTACCTCTGTGAGTCCTTTGAAACTATTACACCAGCAGTCACATCAGCGAAACTGAACCGTGTTGCAGTGTTACCTTTAGCCTTACATAAGGAAGGATTATGGCCAAGAGAGGGTGGAGATGCACACAAAACCATATGAAAGAGGCAGAGTAAGGCAGTTAGTTGTCCTGAGCAAGTCATTTATAGGCATCAAAGAAGACACTTGTTTGAGGCAGTGCTCAAAGCAAGGTAGTCCAGGTAGCTTTAGGGACCTGTGAAGACCCTTGGAGTGTGTGGAGTGAAAACTATTTTTATAATAGTAAGACTTTATTTATTTGCCTTTTTCTCATTCTCATCTCCCACAAGTGGAGTTTTCAGGAGGCTACTTTGATACGTCCGATTGAATGTAGAAGCAGGGATGAGAATCCAGTAAACCAGACATTAAAAGAGATTTTCAAAAATATAGAACATCGTCACTTTCACTGTTTTCTTTTGTTAGTTAGGAATTTTTGTTTGCTGGTACCAGTGGCTCACACCTGTAATCCTAGCTACTCAGGAGGCAGAGATCGGGAGGATCATGTTTTGAAGCCAGCCCAGGCAAATAGTTGGTGAGACTCTATCTGGAAAAAACCCATCACAAAAAAAGGGATGGTGGAGTGGCTCAAGGTGTAGGCCCTGAGTTCAAACCCCAGTACCACAAAAAAAAAAAAAGAGAGATGAAAGAATTTTTGTGTGCATGGTATTGGGGTTTAAACTCAGGGCCTGCACACTTACTACTTGAGCTATACCTGAGTCCAGTATTTATTCTTTATAAAAGTTATTTATAAGCCAGAGGTGGTGGAGGACACCTGTAAATCTCAGTACTCAGGAGGCTGAGACAGGAGGATCCCAAGTTCAAGGCCAGCTGGGCTACATAGCGAGACCTTGTCTCAAAATATTAAGGGTTGGTGGGGATTGGGGAGGGGGGGGGTGAGGCTCAAGTGGTAGAGTGCTTGCCTAGCACCCCAAGACTGAGTTCAAACCCCAGCGCCGCCGGGGGAAAAAATGTTTGGGGTGGGGGGAGAAGAAGGGGAGAAAAAGCTATTAATGTTAATGTGTAATGGGTTTAGAATCGTTAAGTTCTAAATCAATCAATCGAAACTTTTTAAACTTCGGCTTTAATTTCTAATATGGCCAAAATCAATAGATACAACCCACACAGAGAACTCTGAAATTCTTGGTAACTTTTCGGAGTACAAAAAGAGTCCAGGGGACAGAACGGCTGGGTTGGAGACCCGCGAGTGCCGGGAGCGAGAGGAGGAGTCCATCAGACTTTCTAGAGCTTGCCAGGCTGGCCAGGGAGGGCGCGACAGGGACAACCCGAAACAAGCCCGCCCCGCCATGGGCCACAGGTGATGGAGAGGCCGCCAGGTAGGTTCCCTGCCCTCGTGCGGGCTGAGAAGTTAACCAACTTGCACAAGGTCGCAAGACCGGGCGTGGTGGCGCAGGAGGGGACTCCAACCCCCACCGGAGGATCCAGGGCCAGCTCACGCTTTCCACACCTGTGAGGTGCAGCGCAAGGGGCTGCGAGAAGCTGGGGGCATCGTGACAGGCGGGGACCCGCGGGCCCGCCCCGGGAGTTGAGTCAGCCAGCCGCCCCCTGCCCCGCCACCTTCCGCACCAGCCTTCCCGGACTGTATCCACGCCAGTTTCCGCTCGCAGGAGACGCCTTGCCTCTTCATGCTCTAGGTAGGTGTTCCTCGCTCGAGCACCTTCGGTTCCCACTTGAGAGTCCCGGCTGCCGCACGCCTGCGTAACCGGAGAGGCGCGTCCGCTTAGGTGGCGCGCGCCTCTGCGCGGCCCCGGCGCTCGCGCCCCCCGCAGCCCCCGCGAGCCCAGTCGCCGGCGCAAGCGCAGTCACCAGCTTCCCGTGGAAGCCGTGCTCGCGCTGCCTGACCCGGAAGTGCTTCTCTTTCCGGTAGTGGAGAGAGGAGAACGCACTGCGCTTGGTGTGCGGGTGGTGGGGTGCGCTGTGGTCAGTATGCAGCGGTTGCTCTTTCCGCCCTTGAAGGCCTTGATGCAGAGCGGTTGTGTCCGGCTCCTGGTTCCCAAGGTGGCGCCTAGAGCACAGGTACCGCCCCGCTGCGGATCCCGATCACGGAAGTGGGGCTGGGGTGAAAAGCCCAGGATAAAGAACGTAGAGCTCCTTCCATTTCACAGTCCTTCTCCTTGTGTCCAGAACCCCTGAGTTCGGATCCGGACATACGGCTTGCTGCTACCTGTGTGTTATTATTGGCCAAGTTACTTGATCTTTCCGTGCTTCAACTTCCTTACATGTAAAATGGATATAACCATACTTACCTACTTCATAAGGTTGTTGTGAGGATTAAGTGATTTAATAATAAACATCAGACCTTTAACACATGGGAAGAGCCCAGTAATTTACTTGTATCCTCGATTTTTTTTTTTTTTTTTGCTAAAAGCCTCCAAGTAGTCAGGAACTACTGTATCGCTCCATTCTGCACGGAAGGAAACTGAGACTTAAATTGCTTGTCTTGAGTTACTCAGTTAATTAGAAGTAGGAAAATGAACATAGATCTTTTTACTGTAGGCACAGATACAGCCAAAGAGGGCATGTATTTGCTTAACTAGTAATTGTTGGGTAGTTATAATGTGTTAGGAACTAGGGAGAGAGAAATACTACAAGGTTCCTCCCCTGAAGGAAGTCACAGTTCACTCATTGAGTAATTCATTTGTTAAATCTTTATTAAGGTTTTGCTGTGTAAAGCAACAGTGTTAGAAGCAAAGGTAGCAGGAGGGAAGGAGCAAAACTGACCAGATCCTGGGACCCTGGGTGAGAGACACAGACACATGAACCTGAAGATACTTGAATGTGTGAAGGGTTGTCATCAGGGAGATATCATGTGCTTTGACCCCTAGTAGACTGGAGAGTCTAGGACCATTTCCCAGAGGTGGGAACATGTAAGCTGAGAGGACATATAAGCAGTAAGTGTTATCAATGAAGAATTACCAGAGAATTACCTTTAAAACACCCAGAAGAGAAAGCAAATAATCCATATGTAGATATAGAGTGAAGTCTCAGGGAAGTATGCAGAGAATAGAAAATTTATGTAGTGTGGGAATGGATGGGAGTAAGGCAAGTCCAGTCCAGTTGGAAGGTGGATGCAAGTGGTCCAGATAAGAAACCATGACTTATCAGGAGAGTAGCTCTGGAGATGCGACTATATGGAGTACTTTACCACAGTGAGATTGGCATTCTGTTCTCTAGTTGTAATTTTCTGTCTTGATCCTTAGTATGATTGCAGCTGTGGCATCCGGCGTCCTCTGAGGCCAGGGCAATACAGCACTGTCACTGAAGTGAGCTTGCAATCTGGAAGGGGTACAGTGTCTCTTCCCTCAAACGCTGCTGAGCGCACAGTGGGCCGATGGCTACTGGTGTGCAGTGGAATGGTGGCTGGAGCAGTTATTCTTGGTGGAGTAACTAGGTGAGTAATTTGCTCTTAGTAAGTCAGGTATTTGGATTGTTAGTAGACCATAGGATGACCAAGGGGAAAGTGACCTTAGGGATCATTTCGTCTAGCTCTCTCATTTTTCAGATGGAGAAACTGAGCCCTTAAAGAGGTAACATGTGTAGGGCTGGCAAAGTGGCTCAAGAGGTAAGAGGCCCTGAGTTCCAACCCCAGTGCCACCAAAAAAAAGTCTATAAACAGACTTTATATTTTTGGACTCTTTACCCTACCTCCACCTCTTACAGTTATTTTCTTGTTGAAGAAACCAAGTTATTTGTACTGTAATTACCCACATTCTGGATTTTGCTGATTGCATAATCGGCAATTATGATTTGGTGATGTTTAATATGTCTTTTTTTCCATTATGTGTCCTGTAAACTACAGATTTAGATAAGATTTAGATTGGGCTATATGAGATTTAGATAAGATTTAGATTGGGAATATGGGAGCAAACTACTTCATACATGATTAGAACATTCATGATAATCTGATGTCTATTAGTGATTTCAACAGCCATTGATTACTATTGCCTAGATCTATTATTTCATAAGAGTTGCAAAATTATAATATTTATTAGCTCAATTCTAAAGAGAAACTTTTCTTCATCAGCAATTTGGTTACCCTAAGGCATAGTTTTTATAGGAATGGCAGGATAAATACTTGGTTCTTTCCCTTTATTTTACAATTTTCAAAATAATAAATTGGTCCCCAAGATCCTCCAAAGGTGACAACATATTTTGAGTTTTTAAGTATTATGAACTCATAGACTTAAACACATTTGATATGTTTTAGTCAATTATGATGATGGTTTTGATGATTTGCTTAATTTGTTCCATCTTAAATCAGTGGAAATCTCTTGAATTTTCCTCTCACAACTTTTTGACGGGAAATTTTTTGTTTGTTTGTCCTTTTTGAGACAAGGTCTTGCTACTATGTAGTCCATTCTGGCCTCAGACTCACAATCCTCCTGCCTTCAGCCTCCCAAGTGCTTGCCAGGGCCCTTTGATATAGCTTCCTTGCTTTCTGTTGTGATAAGATGTTACAGGTCCATTTTGTACATTTCTTGACTCTGGCCTAAAAATCAACTATAAAGTTTAGGGCTCTCACGCTTTTTTTTTCTTTTCTTTTCTTTGTCTTTTTTTCAGTACTTGGGATTGAATCCAGGGCCTCACACATTCTAGGAAACCAGTCCTTTTGTTTACATTTTTGTTTTTGAGATAAACTCTCACTAACTTTGCTTGGGCCTTGAACTCAGAATCCTTCTACCTCCTTCTTCCAAGTAACTGGGCACAACTTGCTTCTTTACCTGACCTCTGGTTGCTTTTGGTGAAAATATTTTCTGATTTTAATGAGGTGTGTGTTCCTCAAATTGTCTGCATATTCCTTGTACCCATATTTCAAAATACCATATGTGTTACATAGGCTGTTAGGGAAACTGCAGTTAATTTGAGTCTCATTGTCTTGAAATTCACAGAAGAACCTTAACCTATTTATCCCTGTAACAAATTTCTTCTCCCTGTGTAAAGAATGATAGTTATAGCTATTATGTAGCTTGGCTGCAGAGTTTGTGCTAAGTGTGTGCAAGGCCCTGGGTTCAATCTCCAATGCCAAGAATAAGAATACCATTCTTCTTTTAGTATTCTTATTTTAGTACATGCTTCTTTGGCCTAATGGTTGGTTTTTCCTATGAAGGAATTCTAGTGAAAGGATGACAAGGTACAGTTGGACATACCTATAATCCCAGCACTTGAGCTTGAGGCAGACTGGGTTGCATAAAGAGACTCTGTCTCAAAAAATAAATGAATATTTGTTTCATTGTTCTCTTCTGGTGAGTACTTAGGAAGGAGCCAACTTTATTTCCAAAGCTGGAGCCGAGCCGCAGTGACATCAAGTGGTGGTTTTGGGACATTTTCCCTTTCTACTGGGATTTTGTCTTTGATATTTAAATGTCTTAAATAAAGGTGTTGTTTTCCTTCTTCTCTCCAAATAAATAAATAAGTAAATAAGTAAATAGCCAGGCATAGTGGCTCACAACTGTAATCCCAGCACCAGGGAGGCTGAGGCAGGAAGATTATCTGCCCCAGGACACCTGGGCTACAGAGAGACCTTGTCTCAAAAAAGTAAAATAAAAAAAATAAATAAGTAAAAATAAGTTGGGAGAGTTGAATGAAAGAATTGAAAGAATAAGAAAATAGAAATAAGGGCAGAGGATATAGTTCAGTGACAGAGCACTTACAAGTTCTAAGTACTAAGGTGTCAAAAAGAAGAAACAGTTCAACCTTGTGTTTACCTTTCATGGGGTTAGGTTCATATCTTCCTGTTTCTGTGAACTATTTATGAGTAATCTAGAATCACAAACTCAAAAACTTATTTCCAATTGTAAGGTTGACAGAATCTGGCCTCTCTATGGTAGACTGGCATTTAATAAAGGAGATGAAGCCACCCACAAGTCAAGAGGAATGGGAAGCAGAATTCCAAAAATACCAACAATTTCCAGAATTTAAAATGTAAGTATTAGAAAAAAAATCAGAGGGCTGGAAGCATGGCCCAGGTGGTAGAATGCCTACCTTTCAAGCACAGAGCTCTGAGTTCAACCCCAGTTGAAGAAAGGAAGGAAGGAAGGGAGGGAGGGAGTCAGGTAAACATCTCACTAGCCCTATTCAATCTTCTTCGTATGTAAACCTCTTTATTGGCTCAGTTAAATTTAGTGAACTGCCTAAGCTAAGCCTCTTAAGCCCAAAGTCATCCTGAGGTTGCTAATGAGGAAAAGGCAGGCCTATGAAGCTCAAGACTGAGAATGTTGCTTCATTCTACAGGGAAATAAAAATCAGAAGGGTGTTTCTTCTTCTTCATTTTTGACTTCCTCTTTCACTAGCTTGAATCATGATATGACGCTGACAGAATTCAAATTCATCTGGTACATGGAGTACTCACACCGAATGTGGGGTCGCATGGTAGGCCTTGCATACATCCTGCCTGCTGCCTACTTTTGGAGAAAGGGCTGGCTCAGCCATGGCATGAAAGGACGTGTTCTTGCCCTCTGTGGCTTAGTCTGCTTCCAGGTAAGGTTTATTGAAGGGTAAGAAAATCAGAGATGCACCAAGGAGTTTCCTAGTTGGTGTTATTTTTAAGGAAGTAATCTTGAGGCACTATAACAGAGTGAATAAAAGTGTTAATTTTAGTAAGGTAGGTTTGGCTGACGTCAAGCCCCAGCTCTGCCACTTAGTAGGCCAAGTTATCAGACTTCTATAAGCTATGATTTCCTTACTTGTAAATGGAGGTAAAGGTGCCTGACATTTAGAATTGTGCGGATATGAAATGAGATGTTACGTACAGACCACTTAGTTGAGTCTAAATCAGTAAATACATTTTCATGTGCCACATTGTGGCCCTCTTCCTGGTTGTCTTCTCTTTCCTTTTTCTAACTTGCCAGTCATATAGGAAAAAGGAATCCCTATACTAGAATGGCTGCAGAGGCAAATAGGAAAACTCCAAAAGAGAGGAGCATGTTGTGGGATGAAGGGTCTTGGAATACAGATGGAGCTGCGATCAATTATAAATGGTACTTAAAATCATGTAAGTTGAACATCTCTTAAGGAAAGAGCTTTAAGAGACTCCCACAGTTAAAAGCTTAGGTAAAGCTAAGAGCTGAGAAAAGAATTAAGAGAGAAGGCATCTAGAAGTATTTGGGTCAAAGTGTCAAGATCCTAAGGGAGAAAATTGGAGCAATCAGAAACATTAGGCCAGGCACTGGTGGCTCACACCTGTAATTCTAGGTACTTGAGAGGCTGAGACCAAGAGGGTCAAGGTTTGAGGCCAGCCCGGGCCTCAAACATAGTTTGCGACACCCTATATCCAAAATAACCAGAAAAGATCTCCAAAATAACCAGAGCAAAATGGACTGGAGGCATGGTTGAAGTGGTAGAGCACCTGCTTTGCAGCATTGAAGCCCTGAGTTCAAGCCCCAATCTCCCCCTACCATCTCTCCCCCACCAAAAAAAAAAAAAAAAAGAAACATCATCAAAATTTGACCAGGAGGAAGCTGTTATTTAGTCAATTTAACTCAGAAGTGGTAAGAAGATGCAGAGGCAATAGAAATAGTAAAGAGTTAGACACTGATAAAAGTGTAATAGTAACTAGGGAAAGTTAGATGGAACAAAATGAAAGTTAATATTTTAGAATTAAAAACTAAAAATAGATTTCCAGGAGGGAGAAATTTAACATGTCAGGACTATAGGTGGAAGAAACTGAGGGCTGATGAATCACACTGTATATACCTTCATCTTCTAATGTTTCATGCAGATGAAATCAAGGTAATTAGAATATCCAGAGTAATCTTGACAGGGGAAAGAAATGCCCAAAAGGATTTCCCAAAGAGCATATATTTAGAAGAAGTATAAGAATCCTCCATCTTTGTTTGACCTGATTCTACTGGCTTGAGAGTAGAGAGGTGAAAAGTCTCTTATCTTTTCTGATCTGATTGGAATTGATGTTCGGTTAATTGAAAAACCCAGTTTAAACAGAATCATGGAATATGGTACATACTGTAAACTTCTAAGTTTAACATGTTATTTTATTATCAACTTTAAAAAAAAAATTAAGGGCCATGACCTTTTCTTTGACTATGAGTTTGGAGTTCAACTTCAGACCTCTTGTGTCCCCATAAATTATGATTTACAATTTTATTTTCCCTAAAGAAGAGTGGGAACTTAGAAATTTGCAAAGCAGTGCTTGCTTCAGTAGCATGTATACTAAAATTGGAACAATACAGAGAAGATTAGCATGGCCCCTGTGCTAGGATAACACACATGTTTGTAAAGTGTTCCATACTTGTGTTATTTGAAAGTAAATGGATGGAACTGGAGAACATCATCTTAAGTGAAGTTAGCCAGGTTCAGGTTCAGAAAGCCAAAGGCATGTTTTTTCTCATATGTGGAATATCGACCCAATACAAATATAAACAATTTTATGAGAAAACAGGTCATGCTAAGGGGTGGTCACTAATGGGAGAGGGAGAGTAAAAGAAGGAAGAAGGTGAATATGGTTGATGTACTTTCTATACAAGGATGAATATAGAGTTTTTAAACCTGTTGAAATCACCATAAGAAGGGGACTAAAGTAGAAAGGAGAAAAATAGAGGGGATGAACCAATTTAGGTTATGATACATACATACATGGAAATGTCATAAAGAAACACCCTGTATAACTAAACAAATAAAAAAGTCTTTTTTTTTCTTTTCAAAAATGGAGAACAGGAAGATATAACAGGTCCTGTCTGGGCGGGGGTGGGGAGAGGTTGGTACCAGTGAGAAGGATATAAGGAAAGGGTGTAGGAGGGTGAATGTAGTGGAAATGTTATGTACTCATGTATGAAAATGGAAAATTGAGACCTGTTGAAACTATTCCAGGAGTGAGGGGAAGGGGAATAAAGGAGAATGATGGAGGAGGTGCATTCAAATAAGATACATTGTAAGAACTTTTATATATGTCCCCTGTATAACAATAATACAATTTTAAAAAGGTATTTACAAAGCAGTCTATATGCAAAGCCTTGCAGATTTGTATGACTCCCCTACCCAAACTTTTATAATTATCTTAACACACCCCTCTTCCCCGTACTTGTTTTTTAAGCAGTTACTTTATCAAGCTTTTCGAAAGCATGCAATCTAGATTTCAGAGAATCAACTTTCTTCATTTCTGGATGTTTTTGTTTATTTGTTTTGGTAGTACTGGAATTTGAACTCAGAGTCTTGTGCTTGCTAGTTGTCTTTTCATTCTATTTTACTGGCTTATGTAATGTTAAATTACATAAGATAATTTGTAAGGTTTTGCATTCAGATAAACTGCCATTTTCTATATTTGGACTATACTTAATCAAACAGTGTTCATAGTGGTAAAGCTAATGGTACTGTTGATGAACAGTGGACAGATTGTGATTCTTGGGTCACTGGGCATGTGGGAGGGTGTGGAAATGAGGGTCCGTTAGGGTGCACCCCTGGTAGATAACACACTTCCTCCGTAAAACTAAACAGCTTCAACCTTATTTGATTTGCCTCTTCTCTTTTGGATCCTAGGGTCTGTTGGGGTGGTATATGGTGAAAAGTGGATTAGAAGAAAAGCCAGACTCCTATGACATCCCTCGGGTCAGTCAGTACCGCCTTGCTGCCCATCTGGGATCAGCCCTGGTGCTTTATTGTGCCAGCCTGTGGACCTCGCTCTCACTGCTGCTCCCTCAGCACAAGGTAGAAGTCAATGTGGATTGTCACCACATGTGCACAGATGCTGACAGGGTTAGGGAAGTGGAAATTCTGGTTCTGGTGGGAAATTGTAAGTCAAAATGAGATTCCCTTATAGTCACATCTACCAACTTACCAGAAATTAGATACTACAAAGTATCTAATCTAAAATCTGCAAAGTAAAATGTACAGTTCTGTTGAGCTAGAGGGATTCATTCAAAGAAAATTAGCATTACAGCTGATTTTTTTTTTTTCAGTGCTGGGGCTCGAACCCAGGCTTTATGCATGCTAGGCAGTCACTCTACCCCCAGCTCCATCCCCAGCCTCATTTTAAGTGTCATTAAACGTACAGTTCAGTAATGTTAAGTATGTTCACAGTATTGTGTAACCGGTCTTCAGAACTTTTTCATAACCACTAAGTAACAGCTACTGGCAACCACCAGTCTACTTTCTGTCTCTATGAATTTGACTGCTCTAGATACTTGATGTTAGTGAAATAATACAGCATTTGTCTTTTCATGACTGACTTATGTCATCTAAAATAATATCCTCAGGTTCACCCTTGTAGCATGGCTCAGAATTCCTTCCTTTCTAGGAAGAATATTGTTCTGCCCTCATAATATATTATATATATATATAAAATATGTATATAGATAGATTCATATTATACCATAGCAATTTATCTGTTATTGGACACTTGGGTTGCTTCCACTTTTTTGGCTCTTGTGAATAATGCTGCTGTGAACACAGGTATACAAATATTTCTTTGAGATCCTGGTTCAATTCTTTTGAATATATATCCAGAAATGCAGTTGCTGAATCATATAGGAGTGGAATCTCTTGTTATTATTGTCTATTGGCGAAGCAAAATCATGAATTTTAGGAAAAAAGTGAGGAGTATCAATAATAAGAGATGTCCCAACCATTTTAACTCTGATTCCCAGAAGGAATGGTGGGTGGTGCAGCCAGGAAGACAAGAACAAGGGCTAATCTGAACTTTTGTTGGTATACAAGTCATGTGTTGTGTGTTCAATGGGAACCTACTATTCAAGTCTAAAAGGATTTTTCTGTAGGCTAATTTTCCTACAGGAAAATAAGAGTTTTTACATTTTATGCTTCAATTTAAAAACAAGGTATACTCTTTTTTTTTATTTTTTATTTTGAGGCCCTTATTTATGGTATGTTTAATTTCAACATACCATACCCCTAGAAGATACTTTTCTTCTAGTATTTAAAAATAGCAATTATATTAAGTATTGGAATCATGGATTAACTTGGATATTGTTCATAGAGAGAATTTTTATTTGACATGGAATTATTTATTTATGCTTTTTGAGATGGGAGGGAGGGGGGTCTCCCTCTGTAGCCCAGGCTGGCCTTTTAACTCCCAATCCTCCCACCTCTACCTCCCTAGTACTAGGAATACAGGCATGCCACCACCATGACACATGACAGGATTCTCAAATAGAGTCATCCAGTAGGCATTTGGATTTGGTGGCCTGAATCCCAGTAAGGACTGGAGATGTCAACTTGGCCGTCATCACTATAGGAAAGCCAGATCATTGAAGCCTGTTGTAGTAGACATTCCACATCTGAATAATTTCTATTCCCCTTTTGAGCCAGACTTCTAAAATAAATTGGCATCTATAGCCCCTGCTTCCTGACAACCCATTCTTTCTTTTCAAGCCGTGGCTTCCCAAGGGGTTCATCCCTCTTCATACACATTCATACATATCTATACACTTAAACATATCCCACACACTCTCTACTGAAATTGAACTCTTACAGATTACTGACTTATTTTTTCACTATCAATTGTTTTTCCCTTCTTACTTGTTTACATTCTACCTAATTTATCGAAAGGACTTGAGATGATGGTCATTTAACCCAATAATGCTATGTTCGCTAACATAGTAGCTAGTAGCTAGGTGACTATTTAAATTTGTATTTAAATAAAATCAACTTTATATTTAAGTTTTAGTCATACTAGCTAGCCATGTTTCAAGTGCCACAGGTGATAGAGCATATCCAGCATCACAGAAAGTTCTACAGGACAGTGTTGATACACTGTCCTTCCAACAGTTTCTTACTGTAGGCACCTCATTTTTCATAGTCTAGGTTGTAAGCCATTTGAGGATGGCACTCTAGCGTAATTCCTTTATATCTTTAAAGTTACTTATTCATAAAGTTCTTAATCTTTATTCCTTGATTCACTGATTAGTATCAAAAGTTGGCTGTAGTAGAAATAAAAACAGATTTTGACTTTACTGTAAACACTAAATATGAGTCTCCACTCTAGGCATTTTATACAATTTTGATTCTGACTATTTTGCTAGGCACCAAATATCACACACAAGATAAAAATTCAGTCCTGTATCTAAAATTACATCATTTCAACAAGAGCGAGGCTTTTTTTTTTTTTGGACAGGTTAGCAGGGAAGACACATAGTAAATGCATAATTATAATGAAATGTGATCTATATTAGAACAACATCTGGCTGGGAGTACTTGCCTAGTCTAGAGGGCAGAGAAGATCTGGCTTTAAATTGTCACTGGGGTTTGGCTTTGGAAACCTTGCTGCCTCTCATAATTCCTGCAATACAGCTTATCTGAGTGATTTTCTTTCTATTTAGTTGCCTGAAACCCGCCAACTCCTGTGGTTGAGACGATTTGCTGGTGGAACAGCAGGTCTGCTATTCCTTACGGCTCTCTCAGGTAGGGCTCTTCTCATCAGAGATGGCCTGTTGTACCACTGATTGTCACATGGGATCTCTTGCCTAATGCTTTTCCCCTTCCTCCTGTACCTTCATATTTCCCTTTCATACGTGCCTCTTTTGTACTCACATCTTCCCCCTCTGTTTTCTGTCCTCTAAAAATTCTGCTTTCTAGTCAGTTGAACAAAGATACTCAACATCTACCTAAATCCTGACTGCCCAGATTTAAATCCTGACTGCCCAGATTCAAATCCTGGCTTCACCACCTATGAACTGCAAGCTGTGGCAAGTTCATGGTTGTTGAGCTATGGAACTTCTGGGCTTCAGTGATCTGATCTATAAAATGGAGATGGCGATTATAGTATAAGTGATACATGTGAAGTGCTCAGACCAGTACCTGGCATGCAGCAAAGGCTACATAAGTGTTATATAAACATTATCATTATAACGTTACACCAAGCTTGGTCAGACAAAAAATGCCAGCCCTCGAAGATGGCCAGAGGTGGAGAATTCATTGTGATGGAGACTGGTACAGGTTTTTCTCATTGTTTAAACCATACCTTCCTCCACCTTTAGAAGTGCAATCAAGTAGAGGAATTATTTGTCCTGTGTGGTTAAATTTAAGACTAAATAAGCTAGGTGTCAGTGGCTCATGCCTGTAATCCTAGCTACTTGGGAGGCTAAGATGGAGAGAGTCTTGTTTCAAGGCCAGCCAAGACAAATAGTTCTGGAGACCCCCATCTCCAAAATAGAGCAAAATAGATGGGAAGTGTGACTTAAGTGGTAGAGTGTCTGCTTTGCAAGTATGAAGCCCTGAGTTCAAACACCAGTCCCACAAAAAAAAAATAAATAAACAGATTCCAAGTTTCTCTGAATATTCTTTGATAGTAAATAATGGATTAGTCATTCATTCATTCACAGATGCCTTCTCTATGTGTTCAACCAGCATTTAGTTTATAAGTTTGCACTTTTTTTCCAGTTTCTTTGCTCATTCAACAAACATTTATTGAGGAAAACAGGTAATACACAATAAAAACACAATGTGTCAGATGGTATTTACTGCTGTGAAGATAAATAAAGCAGAATGAAGGATCTAGAGAGAGGTGAGGTAGAAGAGTACCATTTTATACAGAATCATCAGGAGGATCCCTTTGGTAAAATGACTTTTTTTTTTTTTTTGCAGTACTGGGTTTGAACTCAGGGCCAACACCTTGAGTCACTCCACCAGCCATTTTGTGAAGGGATTTTTTGAGGTAGGGTCTTGCAAACTATTTGCCCAGGTTGGCTTTGAACCACTATCCTCCTGATGTCTGCCTCCTAAGAAGCTAGGATTACAGGCACGACAAGCCACCAGAACCCAGCAGTAAAGTGACATTTGAGCAGAAGCAAGGGAGTAAATTCTGCAGTTGTGTAGGGGGAGAACATTTCCAAAATAGATGAGCAGTACTCAGTGGTGAGAGGGGAGAGGGAGAGCATCATAATCACTAAGGGATATTTTTTTTCCAAACAAATACACCTCTTCATAGCTTCTAGTCCACTCTTCTAGGGAAGACATGCAAGAACATTGGGGTGGGAGCAGAGATGTTGATGCTCCTGTGGTGAATGTGATGAATATTCCCTATTAGAGAATCCCCACTATAAATCTTTCTGTCATTCTCTGACTGGTTCCTTTGTCTACCTAAGGGACAATAGGCTTTTCTGTACTCATGATTAACATTGGGTCACTTCCTCTCATTTTAATAAGTCTCATTTACGTTGGCATACAGGGGCTTTTGTGGCAGGGCTGGATGCTGGGCTTGTTTACAACTCCTTCCCCAAAATGGGAGAATCCTGGATCCCGGAGGACCTCTTTACCTTCTCCCCCATCCTGACAAATGTTTTTGAGAATCCCACCATGGTGCAGTTTGACCACCGTGTTCTGGTAAGTGTGGCTGCTGGTTCCTGCTGCTGAGCACAGGGAACCTTGCCCAGGCATTGGAGTGTCAGGGAGGCACTGATGGAGACAGTCAGAGAGCAGGGTAGCAGCTGTTTCCTGTTCTTTTCGAAAGAAATTTGTACCAGTTCTCTGATGTTTTTGTCCTTGTTGCTCACACTTCCTCCATCCAAATTCTAGCTTTCAGGATATTGCAGTACTGGGGACTGAACCAAGGGCTTCATGCATGCCAGGCAAGCATCATGGATGGGGAAGGGGACCTTATTGCCAATCCAGAACCCCTGTTCTGGAGGGCTAAGTGTAAAAATGAGACTTTAAATCTTTTTTTCTAGCACCAGCTGGCAGCACTCCCACCTCCTCTACTCACAGCCCAGGAAAATAATACCCTTCATGTGCTCAGGTCTGCTCTGGTATAAGAATACAGGATTAGAATAAATACAAAATTAGGGACAAGGATGCAAAGAATGACTTAAAAAGCGAGGCCCACACCTGGGGAACACCCACATTGAAAGGTGCATAAGATCACTGAGAGAGTGGATATAAAGGATTCACACAGAAACTTAGGTGGAGCCCTAGGTAACACTGCCATTTAAGTCAACAGCAGAAGATGACCATGGACGAGATTGAGGAGGAGAACTAGGGTGGAACTGCAGGGAGGTTCTCCATGACTAGTACAGGAAAGTGCTTCATGGTTGCTCCGTGGTTCTGGAAGAGAGACATGTAAGTGGAGTAGAAATCATGACGGTTGCCTCTGGGCACATGTGATGAGTCTTTCTTTCCTGCAGGGAATCACTTCAGTCACTGCCATTACAGTGCTCTACTTCCTCTCCCGGAGAATCCCTCTTCCTGGAAGGACCAAGATGGCAGCAGTGACTCTGCTGGCTTTGGCATATACACAGGTATAAACCCTTTCTTTTTGGCCTGATGATATCCCCCAAACAAAGTTAGTATTTATAATAGATTAAAAGATTAAGAATGAGAAAATGAGTAAAACATATCAATATACTATTCTCCCAAAAGGAGTGATGGCCAGTAAACATGAACTCATTAGAGTTGCAAATTGAAAGAATAAGTACAATGGTACTCATTTTGCCTGTAAGTTTGGGAAGAAATGAAAGGAAAAATGAGGGAAGATAATCAGACATTGGTATAGGTATAGGAAAATGAGTACCTTCAGATATTCTTGGTGAGAGCATGAATTTCTATAGCTTTTTTCAGAGGGCAATGTGGCAATATCATTTAAAATGTTATATATATAATCCTTTGAGTTAGCAAACTGACTTATTGGTATCTGCCTTAGAAATATTCCAATGCATAAAGAGCTTTATATAAGAACACTCATTATAGAATTGTGATGGTGAAAAACTGGGAACTTAAGTAGTTAACAACCAGGTAGATCTGTACCATGGAATATCGTACAGCAGTTTTTGAGATAGTGAGACGTCAAGAAACAGATTGTTAGGTGAAAAAAAAGCAAGTGACAAAACAATATATTTTCAATAGCACAAAACTTATGTATTGCTATAAACAGATATCCAAAATTACAAAGTGTGTAAAAACTGGTAATAGTAACAATCTATGGAAATTAGAATGGAGTGGGGGATAATAAGGAATTATTTTAGGTTTATCTGTTCTGTTTAGATTTCATTTAAGTATACTTGTGAAATTAAAATAGACATATATATATATACATATTTAATGTTCTGATGGCAGAATGTGGAGGTTTGTGTATCTGGCTATTGATGTGCAGTCATTTGTAGTCTGAAATTATGGTTACTTTTTCTCTTGCTTGCTTTCATTTACAATAGGCAGCCTTGGGCATTAGCACTCTGCTGATGTATGTTCCAACTCCTTTGGCTGCCACTCACCAGTCAGGTTCCTTGGCTCTGCTCAGTGGTGCCCTTTGGCTCATGACTGAACTCCGAAGAGTCCCAAAATAATTCTCAGAGGATCAGCTTCCCGGTATTGAAACTACTTTGAGAACTCATCAGAGAGCATAAGAACTTGACCTTTTCTTCAGAGATGACCTTGGCATGCAAGTTGTTTCCAAATGGGACAAGTTATTTAAATCTCTGCCTGTTTTGAAACAGTCACTGGATTGAGAATATCATTAAGAATGGTTTCACCAGAGTTTCTTTTCTAAATCTACTTTTCATGTTGAAAGTTGGGTTTAATGTATAGAAAAAGTCTGCCATTTGCTGCTTCCAAATGGTATCTGTCTTGGTTGTCTCAATAATACTAAGGTCTTGGTTATACATGCATGACTTCTGTGTCCTTGGGCTCCTGAGTCCTGTCCATTGGGATTAGGCTGGTGGAATTCAAAAGCAGGTGTCCCAGCTAAGGAGCTAAACTAGCCAATAGTGCAAATGAATGCAGGTCTGTTGCTAAAGCCAGGGTTGTCAGATCTTCTGGGTATTTCTTAAAGAAGTTAAGTATCTAGATCTTAAAGTGACTACTCTTAATTAACTACTGGCAACTAATTTAAAGGTTTTTTTTTCAATGCTACACAGGCTTAACATGTCTGGGAGGCAATTGTGACCTGAGATGTTGCCCATTTGCAGATTTTAAACTAGATAGTTTTAGTCCCCTTTCAACTCCAATATTCTGTGAGTTTCAGTGTGACATGTACTGTACCATCATCAGATGTTCTTCACAAAACAAAGGTAGACAGTTGTCTCTAATTCTGCAAAGATCCCAGACCCTGATGGGCTGGGGTCTAGAAGTGTTTCCCAACTTCTGTCATATTAGAATCTTAACTCTCAGAGCCCAAGACCAATTAAATCACAACCTCTGGGAGCAGTAGTAAGCTAGTTTTTAAGTTGTCCAGTGGGATCAGGCTGGTGGAGACTCAAGAGCAGGTGCCCCAGCTAAGGGGCTAAACCAATCGATAATGCAACTGAGTGCTGATCTATTCCAATGTGCATACAAGTTTAGAGACAACTGAGATAGGTCCTCATAGCCTTAGAAACTTCTGATCGAGCTTATTCCCATTCCTTCCGAATTTCTACCACCCCTCCCTATCTCATTTAATTTGTTGTGTTGATCCTGTTTGTATGCATACAGGGTATCACCTCCTTTAGACAGCAGAATTCTTTAAAGAAAAGGTACTGCAGTCACTGGACAAGTTCCCACACCATCATCTCCAGATCCCCCAAACCCAGGTTGTCTTTATTTAATAACAGACAGCAGAGAATAATGTGATCCAACCCAGAGAACCATATGCTAACACAGCTCCTTCTGAGAAAATGGGAACTCAGAAATAAGTTCAAGTTTCAGATGTTTTATTTCATTTTTCTTTTATTACAGTTGATGAATAAGTTTGACAAAACAGATTTTGTATTTGTGTATATAACTGCATTATGCTATCTATGAGCTCCTGGGGAACAGAGATCATCTTAACTATTTTTGTTTTTGTGTTATTCTCAGCGCCACCAGACACATACCAAATATTGAATGAAGGGACGCACAAATGGAAAATGGATGATTACTGATTGAGGCCCAAATGCCTCTTAAGAAAAGTCATCACATTCCTAAAGAATTAAATGAATTTCCCTTAATATTTTCAAAGATCTCTCAACAGTTCTGTCAGTTGTTTTTAAACATGGAATTAAAACATGTATTTTAATCAGTCAGCCCAGAAATTTTGATCTTTAACCTACATTGACATACTCTGTCAGGAATAATGATTAACAACTGCCTAAAGTGATGTTGGCCACAGACACCCAACACTGATGATCAAGATCTTCAAATAGCCAATGGGCTGCAGCTCTCGTTTCTGGTCCTGGGATGAATGGTGCATAGTATATGATTCTCTGTAACATACAGACCAATGTCCCTGCATTAGGGTGACTGTGTCCCCTCCCTAACAACACCCATTTTCCTCAACACTGACTCAGTGTTTATTAGTGAGGATTTTAAGAATTATTCCACAAAATCAGTTTTATTTAATATGAAGCATTTGAAAAACACAGTCTTCACAACCCCTCCCAAGCAATGCGATACAGGCAGCCTTTGGTTTTTTAAAGTGTGGAGTGTCTATAGTTGTGGATCATAACAAAGAGGTGCCTTTCAGCACTCTACAGAGGCCATTGATCAAAGTAGGAATAATAGAGGCAACATGGTCTATACCTCAGATCTTCAACTAAATGGAAAACCTGAAACAGATAGCAGCAAAGTATTTTTCTGAGATCTCTGCTGGCAAAGAAAGACATTTAAGAAGCTAGTAAAAAGCAGATCCTACACCATCAGTGGGGCCAAACTCTGGTAGATGTTCCATAGGAAGGGCTGCTAGGAAACACCAGGGCTACCTTAGAGGGGTGCTGTAGTTCAGACCTGGAATGTTCCCTGAAGGTCCATGTGTTAAAGGCTTAGTCCCCAGGATGACACCTGGCAGCTAGTAGGACCTTTGAGAGGTGTGGCTTCATAGGAGATCCTTAGGTTACTGGGATGCATGCCTCCAAAGAGGGTTGTGCAACTCCAGTTCCTTCTGTCTCTTTAGTGAGCAGTTTTACTACACCACACACTCCCACCACAATAAAGCAAAATGGGGCCACTTGATCATGGACTGAACTTCTAAAACTGAGTAAAGGCAAATATTTCCTTTTTATAACTTAATTATCTCAGGTATTTCATTACAGTAATGGAATGCTTACGAGTACAAATGGAAAAGGAGTGGTAAGTTAGCAGCTGACATACTTTACAAAGGGAGGCTCAGGAGCAGACATGTCTTCAGGCTTGCCTGACATGCATGACTATAAACATCCTGGGATTCAGAACATTTTTCAACTTTGGTCTCTATAAAAATGGCAAGCAATTACTTGACTGCATTTTTTAAATGAAAGCCCTTACACTATGAGTGATAATTCAGTTTTACAGATAAAAGGATCCCCTTATTGCTCAGACTTCCAAGAAACAAAATGGTCAGCTGGTATATTACTTTGCACTCCCTCTAATGATGGTGTTTATAGACTAGGAAATAATATTAGGGCAAAAAGAAGATCTATTGGGATATTTAAAAAAAGAGAAAGTACACAAGGTAGGCTTACAATGAAGCTTCAGCAAGCCACCTGCAGAAACAGTAACCACAAGGTTGACAGGACACCCAACAGGGTGGCTACAATTTTTCAACTTAGATTTGATCCAGGTTAGGAGACAGAAAGCCAATAACAGAGCCACAAGGAATACAGAACATTATCTAAAAGTATCTGATTTCAGACATACTCACTTTCCCAAAATGTTTTCTATTCTATGTTGTTAATCAAAGGAGCCAAAACTTGGTCTTTAGTCCTCATTTTTTGACATGAAAATTTTTTCAATAATACTAACAAAATCCTCACAAGTTTGATAGAAACATACCATCCCAATGGCAAGACTCTGAGGCTAGCATAACCTAGAATACTAATTTGGGAGAATTAAAACAGCCATTGCTAGTCCTCCCTTAATTATTAATCCCAACTGAAATGAAGCCACTCCAAATACGACAGCAAAAAAGGAAAATTACATAATAAGTCTGAACTAGTTTTAAAAGAAGTTTAAAGATGGCAAAAGGCCCCAGCACTCCCATTTTCTATAAGGAAGTCTGGAAAGTACCACAAAGTTACAAGTTCTTTTTTTTTTAAATTTTTTCTTTTTGCAGTACTGTGGTTTGAACTCAAGTCTTCTCACTTGCTAGGCAGGCTCAACTGCTTGAGCCATGCCTGTTGCCCTCTGGTTACTTTTGAGATAAGGTCTCACTTTTTTGCCCCAGCTAGCCAGGATCATGATTCTTCTATTTTATGCTTCCCACCATAGTTGGGATGACAGTTTGCACCAGCATGCCCAGCTGGTTGGTTGAGATGTGGTCTCACTTTTTGCCAGGGTTGACCTCAAATTGCAATCCTCCCTATCTCAACCTCCCAAGTAGCTAGGATTACAGGCTTAAGTGACTTCACCTGATTACAACCATGTTCTTTAATGAGGTAGAACTAATAGGCATTTTTACCTTCATTTAGAGTGTAACCTTAATTTAGATGTAATTAATCATATTAATTGCTTGGATGCTATTTAGAAAATTGTGCAAAATTAAGCAAATTGCTTAAAAGACATCTAAAATTTCAAAGTGTCAAACACAAAATCTAAAGTAGAGGCACTATTTCTAAGTCTTTCAAAGTGTATTTCTAAGTGTGAACAAAGCCATCACAAATGAGGGTCAGAAGCTATTACAATGACTGGGCATGGTTGGGTGCAGTCAGCTGTAGTGTAAACAGCAGATTCTGTTGAAATAGAAAGTGAATGAGCATATTCCATTGTAGCTGTCAGCTTGGTTAGTGGTGCGTGTGTTTCAGAGAAACCTGCAGTCTAGAAGGACATTCACTGTGACTTTGCCCAAATTACTACTACTCTGAACCTCAATTTCATCACCTATATAATGGGGAGAGGGTTTGATGAGAAGAGCCCTAAAATCTCAGCTTTAAGTCTCATCCTGTCTTGCCCTGTGATGCCTCTGCCTTGTTATAATGCAGTAAGAAGACTGCATTATATGACAAGCAGTTTCTAGTACTATGCTCTTGAATTCCCAGACTCCAGAACCATGAGCTCAATAAATCTCTAGTACTTATATATTAAAGACAAAAAAAACTCTCATTTTCTGAAATTTATTTATAGTGATTGCTGTTGAAACTCCATTCCCATCTACCTTAATGTCAGGGACTATGGGTAAAACAGGATGCTGTTTGGAGCAGTCTGGTCTTTTAAACCAAAGGCCAAAACCTCTTCCTGAAACTACATGACCTTTTTGCTTTGTCTCCTGCCTTTGGTTCTTTATCTTGTCCAGCCACCTTGTTTATAGATGATAACTGACCCAGAGACAACAATTGGCCTGCCTAGGGAACCAAAGCTAGAAAATTACAAAGCCAAGACTGGAGTCCAACTTGGCTAGTCATTAAATACAGTGTTCCTTCCCTTAAATCATTCCATCCACCTGTCCCTCACCTGACAAAAAGCAAAGCAAAACAAAACTGAGAAACTCTGTTCGGGGAGCATCTGTTTAGATAATACTAGTGAAAAGTATGTTATTTTATTTCAAAAATGTAAATATGAATGTGATAGTAAATGTTAATGCCTAAAAAGCCTAGCTTAGTGAGTGTATGGCAGGCTTTCAGTCAACACCACCAGTAATCACTACCCAGGGCCTTGAAGTTAAAGGAAGCTCTTAGGAGAAGTCAGGGATGGGCAGAATACTTAAGATTACATGTGTAGAATAAATACAGTGTTGGCAGAAAGTGATTAAAAGTTCCCAGACCAAGGAAATCCAATTCAAGGAGATAAGGCACAGAGAGAAAGATGGCATAATTTGGCTTAGAGTTAACTGCAACTTAAGTTAATGTAATGCCACCTAAGTGGGTATTATACATATTTTCGTTATGTTCTAGTGACAAGAATTCTGGAGAAAATGATGGTTTATACCTCACAAGACAAGAAAAGCATCACTATGATAAGCTACTGACTTCAATTTTGACATTTGTGACTTGTCTTGGTAATAACAAAAGTACTAAAACAATTCAGGTTCATTGTTGCTATTATCCAAAGTGGTTGGTAAGATTCAAAGGAACCAGTGGAATGTGAATTTTATGGCACCATAATTATCTTCAAAAGGGAACCACTCAACATGCAGAAAGGCAAACAGAAATTTTTAAAAGCTGAAGGCTAGAAAAGGATAAAGGGTGTGGCAAGACTAATTTCTCCTCCTATAAATAGTAATAGTCCACTATGAGGAAGTAAAAAGAAAACCTGTGTGTGTGTATGAGAGAGAGAAAGAGAGAGAGAGAGAGAGAGAGAGAGAGAGACAATCTGGCCTTCAGCAAAGAAAAAGTAGTTCTAAATGAACTAAAAAGCATTCATTTAAAATCTACTGGTTGGGAGGGATGAAGAGGCTCAAGAACCGATATCAAGAGCAAATGTTCAGTTCTTCTGAAAAGTACAATAAAAAAATCCTTTTTCAACAATGGAATTTCAGGTAGTTTTACAATAATAAAGAGAAGTCTAGATTCCATAAAATTAAATAGGATACAGCAGTAAATAACATTAAATAAAAACTCAAAGACTAATTAAAATAAATTAAGAAACATTTATATTGAGAAAAGACAAATGTTGGTATCCTGAATTCTCAACTATAAAAAGAATAATAGTAACATCAGTCTGAAAGTTTGTAATGATTAAAATAATATACATAAAATTCTTAACAGAGTATCTGGTACATGAGTGCTTTACAAATGGTAGCTATTACCACAACCAGGAAGAATAACTTCACTAATAAAAGCTTTAAAATGGGACTAGTTACTACTCCCCGCTTCAACTTGAGTTTGAGCATACTAATATGGTCACCAATCAAGTAGCTTTTGCCTAGATAATTGATTAGATTTCCCAAGAGACCAAAAATAGTATTTGAAGCAAAGGTGAAGTAAAAAGAAAAAGTTACCTGAGTAAGCAATGGCTAGCAAAACATTTTGACTTTTTTTTTTAAGCAGCATTCATAAGGCAAGGCCTCATTCACAGGACACAAAAATAAGGAAAAGAAAATCAAGGCAATTGAGAGATTTTAAAAATTAAAGGGAAATGCTATACAATAAGCAGTAACCAAAAAGAAAAGGATATTTCCAAGGGAAACTATAGGAGTCTTTGCTAGATCCACGCTTATCTAATTTGAAAATAACTCAAAGCCAGGTGTATAGTGTATACCAATAATCTCAGCACTGGGAGGTGGAGGCAGGAGAATTCCGAGTTCCAGGCCAGCCTGGGCTACAATAGCGAGACCCTGTCTCAATAATAACAATTCAAGACTCTGAATTGTTATTCAGTTCACCAACTGAGTCAATATACTTATTTTAATAACAGTTCATCTCTAGGAGGATCTAAATTTCTTTTTCTCTGTTTGATGAAGCACTTAATTTCTTTTTGTTCCCAGTACGGAATTTATTTTTGAAGAGTTCCATTTTTACTCTTTAAAGTTAAAGACCTTTTTCTCTCTTCATCTAAGTCTAGAAATCAAAGGCTTTGACAAAAAGATAAGAAAGATATTTCAACCCTGGGGGTATAGTCACAGGCAGGACACTCACAGCTACATATAAGAAAAGATAAAGTAGAAAGGAAGGTGGAGTTGATGAAAAAGAAATTCTCATACAATCTGAAGGCTAAATGTAGAGAAATATAGAGAAGCAAAGCTCCAGGAGGGCAGTGGATGAAGATGAAATTATTATGGCTTTTCCTCTCTCATCAAGGAAGTACTGTTTGTGACTGAGCAATCTCTTAACAGAGGTTCTGAAAGTTACCATGTAACTTCTAAACCAAAGTTTAGAATTTGCTATTTCAGACATTCCAGGATTTAGAAATTGATAAAACTTCTATTTCTAAAAAAAAAAAATAAGAGTTTGATATTATTGTCTTTGCCCACTCTCCTGATACTAGTCTTCATTTCTTTAAAAACAACCTAAATACATCCCAAATGATGTATTGATCTTAGCGGTGAAATGCTTTAAATCTTTCTATACATAAAACCATGCCTGGGAACAGTGACTTGAAACCAGACAAATCCAGGTCCTGGTTCCCCATCACAGTTTCTCCATTCTACTTACGGCTCAAAAAAGCAAAATTAATGCTCAATAGCCCGTGAGGCACATAAACATGGAAAATTTCTATCCTGATCAGACCAGATATCAGGTAAAATATTATCTAATTTTCAATGGACTGACTACCCATTTAGAAGGGGTTCTAGCATTTTAAAATTATATACTAACATCAACAACACTGTCAAGGATCTTGAATCACACCCACAATGGCTTGTCAAATAAGCACGGAAGTTGTGTCATTTTGGTTGCCTGGAAATTCATATCTGGTCCACTGAACTACAAAGATCTTGGATCCCAATTAAAGGCTGTGGATCTCCACATAAATGATATCTCTGTTACAGAGAAAGAAGGGGCTGCTGCACTTGTTAGAACACCTCTGGCTTTGTATCAAGATGCTCCAAGTTTGGATTCAACCAAGCTTCCAGTGTGCCCATGCCAAACTTCATGCTTCAGCAAGAGGCAAATGCTGGCTCCCAGGAACACACCAGATCTCTGGGATGAGGAAAAGAAGCATGCTTCAGTTGGACTAAGCTTGGTCCTCTTTGCTAGCACCAATCTCTTACCATTTAGTTCCTCACAGACTAAATTACAGCTTCTCTCTGAGAAGAGGTCCTGGGTACGAAAAAGTAAATAAAGTAGAAATTAAACTAGAAATTCCAAGGCCAAAGCGAATCTGAGTCCAGTACAAGAAAGTGGAGGAATTCAATGAGCAGCAACTCTGGGGTACTTAAGATTCTCCAATCCTGGTCCAGCCTCATGGTCCCACCTGTACCCCAATCATCGGCACCACCTCATCGATCCACAATAAATCCAACGGAGCTGAGGCTCGAGTTTGTCGGTGGTGAATTCGGCGGATTCGCAGAAGGTACAGGATGATGGCCAGCAGCACCACCAAGATACAAGCAAAAAATAGATAGTGGTTGTAGACAAAGGAGAGACGGAACCAGCTGACATGGACTTGTCGGACACCTTCCTGCCGAAGATCCCTAGAGAAGGAGAAAAGAACTAGTAGTTTCACAGAGATACATTTACTCTGATTTGAAGTGTCCCATGGTGCTGTCCCATTTATTCCATCCACGCAAACATTGTCAACGCTAGTTACACAGAGCAAGCAAAGCTGCAGAACGTCCCCAGCCCAGGGACAGTGTGCAATTCTACCTGCGCCTTCCTTTCCCTAACTTACAGAAACAGCCTTGCAGGCTCCAAAATCTGTAGACAAGAAATCTGAAGACCTTTGAAACCGAAGAGGGAAAACCAAAAAAACAACCGAAGAACAGGAAGACAAGACTGGTTATCTCTCACATAAATCTTAAAATATAGTTCATAAATACAGTACTAATGAAATAGGGTGTTCCCTAAATCCAACCAAGAAATCAGAATGTGTCTATGTCTTTTTTAAAGAGCTGCTGCATTTCCTTAGGATAAGGATGCTGATGCCTGATCAGCTGTATTAAAACCTGGGAAACAGTAAGAGATATGCAAACCAAAGGGCAGTGGTCTAGTGGCCTGGCTGGAACAGAAGTCACTCTTAGGTGGTCCAGGTGCTGGAACCAGTTTTTGTTTTGTTTAATCTGCAGTGTTTTTTAAAAATGTGCATCTCCGAACTGAACGACTTCATGTAAAATATAGATTCTGGCTTCTCTGGACAAATGAGAACTAGCAAACGCTGGGACAGCATTTCCGCATGATGCAACTAGCCTTTTAGCTGGCACGTTCTCTGGTTCCCCATAGCCCTGTACAGCCCACTTCCCTCACTCTGTCACCTGCCTGACTCCTAAGGCATTAAGTTTAAAAGAACAGGCACCAAAGATTAAGAATTTGTCTTAATCTATCTGAACTAGTCCAAGGAAAGAGGACCTAAATGTTGTCCCAAATATCTTCCAGGGCATAAAGGCAGGGCATCAGGCTACCATAGCATGATGAAAATACGGCCCCCCCCACCCCGCCCCGCCACATGCAGAGACAAAAAAAAAAAAAAACCCCGAACCATTTTCATGTCCTTTTTACTAATTTCTGAAGTGACTCTATCCACTAGGAAATCTTGCTCTATTCCGATAGCCTTCCCCCTTCCCTATTCAAAATCTTTTTCAGGGTAACTTAGGGATGACTTTTAGTTCATCACTCAGCATCTTAGAAGAAATTAGTATGAGCCCAGTCCAAAAACTGATTTGTTGTAGACGAACAAATACAGTTGACTTTCTGAAATGGCAGAGCTGAGGAACGGACTCCAAACAATAATTCTCAACCTTCTTTTGTTTTTTTGTTTGTTTGTTTTTTGGCAATCCTGGGGTTTGAACACAGGGCCCCACACTATTAGACATGTGCTCTACCAGTTGAGCCATACCTCCTGCCTCAACTTTCTGTTTCAACTGCCGGATTTGCATAGTGGCTCTGTGGAAGCAGTAATAGGAGTTTATTTGTTTTGTGGGGTGGGAGTATAGAGGGGTTCACTTAGGAAATCTATTCTGAGACACAGATTAATATCCTCTGAGATCAAGGTACAGCTTGGTTAGTCTCACTTTACCTGAGTGGTAAGAATCGGGTTTTGTACAAAATGGCTCCCAGTGTCCACTGAACCTCTCGGTCATACACCAGCTGAGCTGTACGCAGGTTTGGGTAGTCATAGGGAAAATGGAATCCTTCGTGTAGGACTTGGTACATCCAAGCTGACTTAAAACACTGATATCTGTGTTGTGACAAAAAAAAAATTAAATCTTAAAAAAATAAGATAAAAGAATTCTAATGTTTTTCTTTGCAATAAACTACATATTCCCATTAGATATCAAAAGATCTGCCTCTCCCCACTTCATCTTCCTCACCTCTAGGTGAAGCCAAATTTGACCTATTTTATCTTACCATATGTGAAGACTACCTTTGGCAAGGTCTTGATATTGTGGCTGTGATTTTTCTCTTTTTGTTTTGCTTTTCCTTTTCCCTTAAAAAAAGTAGTACTTATCTTTACAGAGCATCCTGAAATATCTAGAAATGTAATTGCATGAAGTTTGGGATTTGCTTCAAAATAACCAAGTTGCAGTAAGAGTCAAGTAGTGGGTGGGAAAATAAAACAAGACCGGCCCAGAGTTAAAAACTGTTCATACAGAAGCTAGGTGAAAGCTGCACAGGAGTTCATTATACTATTTTATTTTGCTTATAGGTTTAAAAATTTCAAATACAAAATGGAAAACTGATGAACCACTGGCAAAATGTTAATAGTTGTTGAAGCTGAATGATAGATTGTTATAAGTTACCATTCTTTCTTCTTTTCTGCATACTTGACATGTTCTATAATAAAGTTCAAAAAATTTTAAAAAGGGCATCATTTTTATGTCTAGTCACTTGAAGAGAACTCTTGAGTAACACTGCTTTTCCTTGGCTTCACTAAAATTGGCTTGCTATTTTGGCTCTGATCCCTCAGAAAATTGAGATCTGAAATAACCAAATTCTCTTTCAAATCCAACCTGTACTACTGCTTGAGTACTCTCCATCATAATCTGCCATCCTCATCTTTAGGCCATATCTAAGGTAGAAAAGGAAATTGTTTACTTGATTTTATTTTCATTTTTTTGGCAGTACTGGGGCTTGAAATCACGGCCTTACACTTGCTAGGCTTGCTAGGCAGGCACTCTACCACTTGAGCCAGTCCACCACCGCTAGTCTGGAAGTTACTTACTTGAGTCGATGCTCATCTGCATGTGAAGAAAAAAGGCCATTCTTGAATCTCTGAGTTAGTACTGACCAAGCCATGCCACAGTAATCCTGGAACAACCAAAGAAACAGTGCAGTGAAATTGGAGGCAGACTCTCTTCCTTCTCTACAGTCACAGCTGTTTTATTTCTAGTTAGTTATGACCAAAGAAAACTCTCATTCACTGAACACTGTGCCATACCCCTCTTTATTCATATCACCTCCAAGTCTAGTGCAAAGATAGCCCAAGCCCGCTACTGGGCCTCTCAGCCTCAGAGAGGGTTAAGGTTAGAACTGGGAATAGCAACATGGGAGGCCAAAGAGAGCTTCAATCTATGAAGGAGCAAGGAGGACAGGTGGAAACCTATCACTGGCTTGTCTGGGTGTTATGCTTCTCCCCAAAAGAATCATCCCTTTTTGGTTTGTTCAGCGAACTAACATTTACTGAATGTCTACCATGTGCCAGATGCTATTTTAGGTGTCAAGGGATCGAGCAGTGAAAAATAAAAAGAGTCAAAAAGTCCTTTCCTCATGAAGCTAGAGACATTAAGCAAATACACTACACATACAAAGTATGTGCAATGATGTAAGTGCTCAGCTAAAAAACAGGAAAGAGCAATAGGTACTATGGGGAGGGTTGTGATTTTTGGACGGGTCGTTGAAGGAAGAAGAGAATACTTGAGTCAGAGTTTTAAAAAGTTAAGGGAATACAATCATCTCTTTTTACCTTGGGAAGGTAACTTACTAAGTCACTAGCAACTTGGAAAAGCTATAACTTGATGAGCCATTTGGTGTTCAAGAAAATAGGACTTGAAGTTTTGAGATAAGAAACTCAGTAAGGGACAGTAAGGGAGTCCTGAACTCTAGAAAGGGAGTAAGAGGATATTCCTGGAGAATGGAGGAGGGATAAAACAATACAAACCAGGTATTCCACAATATTTCTTGGAGCCTGATTTTTGGGGATTGAATAGTATTGATACTGCAGATATTATTTTATTGGAAGTATTTTACTCTAGAGAATTACAAGAAAGCAGAATGGAAAGGAAAATAAAAGAGGACAGAGATAGATCACAGAATTATACAAAAATCAAAGAGATGACTTTGCAATTGTTTGAATCTGGAAGGTCCCCACAAAGGTCCATGTGTTAAATAGGCATGGTCTCCCATGGTGGCACTCTTGGGAGGTGGTGGAGTCTTTAACTGGTATGGCCTAGAGGGAGGTCTTTATATCATTGGGGGATGCCCTTGAAGGGGATTATGAGAACTTGGCTTCCTCCTCATTCTCTGTTTCCTGGTTCATGATGAAAATGGTTTTACTCCACCACATATTCCTTCCTTGTTACAGGCCCAAAGCAAAAAAGCCAATTGATCATGGACTAGAAACTAAAAAACTGTGAGCCAAATAAACCTTTTCTCTTTATAAGCTGACTATCTCAGGAACTTTGTTATAGCAAAACAATAAACAATAAACATCTTTTCTGGACTCTCTATCCAAAATTACAACCTTTCTCATATTACCTATTGCCTTTTCCTGAGCACTTTTGTCATCTTACACACTATGTATGTACATGTGTATGCATATTTAGTTATTGTCTCCTATAGAAAAAATGACTAGCACAGACTCTGAATTAAGGCAGGGAGTTATGGAAAGTTTGGCTAAACTGTTACCTGTCCAGGTAACTAATGCCTTAAGCCTATAACATGCATAAATCCTATATATGTGCAAAGTGAACTTTTCCTCCTCCATTTAAAATTTAAATAATACTTCTATTATCTCTGCTTTTTACAACATCTTTCTAATATTCTAAGTGAGCCCATACCAGTTTGGTCTCTTAATAACTAAGAGAAGAAAAATGAACCTACCCACCATAATCTCCAAGAACACATGACATCTAAGACACCCAGCAAAGAGAAAAATAAATAACATGAGACTGTTGGCCACAAAGATTAAACAAGACTTCTGGAAAGTTGTAAACCAGCAAAGAGAAAAATAAATAACATGAGACTGTTGGCCACAAACATTAAACAAGACTTCTGGAAAGTTGTAGGAAAACCATATATAACCACTACAATTTTATATTTGGGTAATAGGACACCCATGGAAACCTAAACTTAGTTAATTAGAAGGCAGTTTGATATAATAGGTTTCTTAATTTCTCTAAGCATTCTTTCTCTTCTATAAAATGGAGGCTTATGGAGCTCCTGCAAAGAATCAAGTGAGATCATGCATGCAAAGCCCTTTGCACAGTGCCTGGCACAAAGTAATGCATCCAATAAATGGCTACTGCCAACATGAGTCATCTTTATCATTAATGAGTTACCTGAGCAGCCTTAGCAAATGTTGGCCCATGATAGCGGCCACCGATGCGCAGCACATCCTCTGTGCAATAAAAAAACTCAGAGAAACCATAGAACTCGCTGTTGTTAAAGTCAATTGGTGACTGGTAAATGCCATTCAATGATGCCTGGGTGGTGTTGGAGCGAGCCAGCAGGGGGCTCAGCATTGTTCCACAAGTGGCCCAGTCTCCCTTTCCTCGGATATGCAGGACCTGGCTGTTCCTCTCCACCACATCTGTGAGTCCCACGGGCAGACAGGGATCCAGAAATGGATTGTCGGGACTCAGGCCTGTCTTCTGGCCCAGCAATCTGTCACAACAAAACAAACAAGAGTACAGGACTCAACCTCATCTAAGAACCATGACGTATATCACAGATATCTTGTTACTGTTTTTCATGATATCATTAGAAAAAAGAATGGAGTACTACCAGTCAGTGGCATCAGATGTACATTTAACTCAAGCAAATTAAACTTAGGAAGACAGAGAAATACCCTGGGGATCAATTTATTTAACTCTATCATCAACATGTTTATTTCCTAGTGTACAGCGAAAGGAGAGACATGAATCTGCTGTTTTCATCTAGACTTCATGCCCACATGCCTCTTCAAAGTGCAGGGATTTTGATATTTTGAGGCAGGGTCTCACTATGTAGCCCAAATTTGCCTTAAACTCCTTTTCTCAGCCTCCTGAATGCTGGGATTCAAGGCATGTGCCACCTTATTGGTGGCAACTACAAGAATCTTATTTTGCTGAGTGTGGTTGGCATGTTGAAAAATACAACTGGGAGGATGCAAAGTGGGAATGACTGGAGGAGGGTTTCCTGAAGAGAGGACCATGGTGGTGGCAGAGTAGTGACGCCTGATTTTGAAAGAACAGTGCTAGGACAGAGCATGTGGAACACCAGATCCAGGAAGCAGCCTGAAAACTTTGGAGACTGAGTGGGAGGGGGACAGACAGGATTTGATTCACTCCATAGCCATCACACAGTTCTGGATCTTAAGTCTGTACTTGTATAGCAATCATATTCTCATTACTAAAGAGATTAATATGAAGATCTGGCTAAGGATGGGAATTACACGGAGACCATATAAACTTGCAACTGCAATAATTATTCATCAGTTCACAAACTAGCAGATTCCTGGGGTGAAGATATACACTCAGGTGTAAGGACTGAAAGAGGGAATAGGAAGGCAACACAATAGAATACTTGGAACAACTGGAATCTGACTACTTCAAGGACATGCCATTGACTGCAAGGAAAATTCAGAAAACCCTTATTAAGAAGAAAAAAACATTAAGTTCTGCCATCCCAGGAGGCATAGGGTTCTCTAATAGATTGGCAACTACACAAGATACAACTTTTACCCCTCAACCTCCTGAAGTTGATGAATTAGACACTTAGCCAGAAAATAACCAACACATGGGAAGAAGACGGTACAGCATGGGAAAAATCTGGAGGCAGCAGAGAACAGAAAAAAGTACAGAACAACAAAGGAAGAAAAATGGAAAAGGAAGGACAGCAGCTACTGAAGAAGGAACAACCAAAACCAATGTGAAGCTTTCATAACAAATGCCCTTCAGACATCATGGAACCAGCAGGAGCAATTCGTGCATCAAACCCAAGCAATGTTTGTACAGATCTAGGAGAACTTCAGAATACCACTTGATGTTTACACAATCATCAATCTTCCAAAATGCCAGGACTTTCCCAAAGCCCCTTGAACTCTTAGTGATGGAGACTTACAAAGATTAAAAAGGCTTTTGAGACAATATTTTCTTCAACATGTTCTAAACACAAGGTAATTGATTGCTATGGAGAAAGTATTACAAATGGATTAACCAATACCTCCTTATGCTAGTCTCTAGCTAAAGAAATGAATATAGATAATTTTATGGTAGAAAAGAATTCTATTGTCTATTATCCTTTCCTTCAATAGGATAATGATAAATAATTTTCAATACTCAAAACAAAAACAATCACCTAACTAATTCATTTGGTATTCAAATGAAGAATCAGAGATCTGTCCAATACTGGAGGAAAAACTTGCTATTCTGCACCTGATGAAAGACCATTTTAAAGGTAAATTTTAAATATATATATAATATGTGTGTGTGTGTGTATACATATATAATTGGTATTGGGGGTTGAACCCAGGGCGTCCTCACTTGAGCTACCCCAGCTCTTTTATTTTATTTATGTATTTATTAATTTTTTTTTTTTTTTTTGCAGTACTGGGGTGTGAACTAGGGCCTACACCTTGAGCTACTCCCCCAGCCCTTTTTTTGTGATGGGTTTTTTCGAGATAAGCTCTCTCAAACTATTTGCCCAGGCTGGCTTCAAACCGTGATCCTCCTCATCTCTGCTTCCTGAGTAGCTAGGATTATAGGCGTGAGCCACCAGTGCCCAGCTGTATTTTGTTTTTGAAACAGGGTCCTAAATAACTATGCCTGATCTAGCCTGGAACTTATAATCCTCCTGCCTCTCTGTAATTGTGATTACATGTATGCACTAGAATTTTAAATTAGACATTTATTAGTCTCACTTATTCCATGATACCATGATGGATGTGGGACACAGTGAGAGATCACAGTAAGCTGCTGTACTTTTTTTATGAGCCCTAACAACTAAGAGCAAGAAGCACCCTTGCCCAGGTCAGGTGCCAGAGGGTCTCTAAGAGAGCGATGCTAGCCCACAGGCAGGGAGGTAGGAAAGAAGGAAAAGGAAGGACTTAGCCATATCCAACCTTAGTTGGATATGAATATTTCCTTCCAAATATTTGTGGCCTAATGAATTTCTATTTAGAAACTTGGATCAATGTACCTGTTTTTGTTAAGAGTTTCATTCAGTACAAGGTCTTCGTAGCGCTGCCGGGCAAAGTTGCCCCCAAAACCCAGAAAGGTTGTCACGTAAACCCTGTACACATGTTCAGTGTGCTGCACATCGCAGCCCAGGTTGAACTCAGCCAGCAGGATCTTGGCAGCTTCTTCCTGTTATACAATAGCAAGAGCAAGTCGGGAATTTTATTTTAATTCATCTCTAGGAAGCTATGGCATTGCCAATGCACCGCCTTCCTTTCCTATGACTTCTTTAAAACATCTAGCAGCATCCTTTCATTGTAATAGCATTATTTTAGACAACGACATGTAAGGAGAAGACTGCACCAATAAAGTACAAATAAGAGGCCAAGTTGGAGATTAAATACCAAATTAGAGAATCAAATGCTATTTGTAGTTACAGGTTATAGAATTATTATAGTTGAGTCGCTTTCTGGCATGTACTTCTTTGTATTTTCCAATTCTCTACAGTGGGATTGTGCTATTTTCATTACGAGAAAATCCTTCAAAGGAGGAATTTGAAGGATCATTGTGAGATGTATTCATGGCTTTTTCAAAAACTATTAGAGAAGTTCCAGTATTCCTTGTGACAGATTTGGATGCTAGCGAAGTTCAACTTTATTTTAACTCCAAAGAAAAAGTGCTTTTTTTCTTTTCTTTTATTATTTATTCATTTACTCATATGTGTATACATTGTTTGGGCCATGTCTGCCCCGTCTCCTACTCTCCCCTCCCCTCCAGCTCTTTTTTTTTTTTCTTTTTGAACATCAAGTACAGAGGTTGAATTTTTATATTCTTCAACTCAAGGCACACTATCATGGCAAAGCCCCTCTTCTGTTTTATTTATTTATTCCTGTTTATCTTCAACCCACTCCTGTTCCTACCCCCTGCCATAAGCAACCATTCTAAGGTGCTTAATGCCTAGTTTCTGTCTATATGCATTATTACAAAGTGGAGATTATTTTTAATTTGTGAAAATGCTATTGCAACTCTACTCCTAGGTGTTCAAAAACTCATGTCTATACAAAAACATGTTCATGAATGTTAACAGCAGTATTATCCATAATGACTAAAAAGTGGAAGCCACTCAAATGTCTATCAACTGATGAATGGGTAAACAAAATGTGGCAAGGTCATACAACAAAATGTTATTTAGTCATCAAAAGAAATGAAACTTGGAAACATTTTTCTAAATAAATGGCAAATATAAATGGCCACATTGTATGACTTCATTTATAGGAAAAACCTAGACTAAGCAGATCCACAGGAGATAGACTAGTGGTGGTTAGGGATGGAGATACAGGAGAAGGGGAAATAACTGCTAAGGAATATAGAGTCTCTTTTTGGGGTGATGGAAATGTTCTTGAATACAAAAGTGATGGTTAACACAACTTTTTATAGTACAAAAATACATTAGGTATTTAGAGATTATTTAAATTTTTTAAAATGCTTCTTTATAAGACTTGCTTTCTTTCTATCCCAGTGCTGCTTTCTAAATCCGCACATACAAGTCATTTGTTTAAAACTTTATGCCGTAGTGCCACTTGTCATCTATCCCTTAGACGCAGAACTATGCCTCAATTTAACCTATTGATACGTACTCACAATATAAACTAAAAAGTCTCAGAGCCAAGTTAGTTCCTGAAATCTCCAATCCTAATATGACATCTATGTTGACTGTGAAATTCACATTTCCAACAGTCCTGTGGAAATTCTGACACATATGTTCCTTGGATATCTCATACTCAACATACCCAAACTGAACACACTGGTCTTAGGACTTCAGAGCTAAAGACCAGATGATGCTCTCATTCAAACTCTCAGGACAATACTGTTTGCTTCCATCAACCCTGCCCTTTTCCATGTTCTCCTCTCAGTAATTGGGTTCCTCAGCATCCTAGTTATCAGCAGCACTGTCTCCCCACCCTGCTCACACCACCACCATCATTCACCCAATTACATTGTTTTTTCTCTCCAAAACATTCCTTAAAGTCTGTTCTATCCCTTCCATTTCAACTTACGTTGTCTACTTCAATGTTCACCTCCTTACTTTTTTTTCTTTTTTCAGTGATGGTGATACTAAGGCTGAACTTAGGGCCCTGCATTTGCTAGACAGACACTCTGCCATTTGAGTCATTCCACCGGGGACGCCCCCCCACCACCACTTCTTACTCAAGACTCCCTAACTTCATTTCTTTCTCTTACAACAAAATAATTTTCCTAAAAACATATCACTGGACACTGGTGGCTCACACCTATAATCCTAGCTACTCAGGAAGCAGAGATCAGGAAGATCATAGTTCAAAGCCAGCCCAGGCAAATAGTCCATGAGCCCTAGCTTGAAAAAACCCATTACAAAAAAGGGCTGGTTGGTAGAGTGGCTCAAGGTGTAGGCCCTGCATTCAAGCCTCAGTACCACCAAAAAAAAAAAAAAAAAAAAAAAAAATCAGCCCAGCCAACATGGTCACAAAACTCAGAGCTGGGAAGGACTTTCAAAATTTGTTTTACGGTAGAACTGAGGTTCATATGAACCCCACCCCCTCTACTGGCCCCTTCTGCTCAAAACCTTTGCTAGGTCCTCATGATCTTCAGAAATAAAAACCAAGCCTTCTATGACATGCAAGACTCCTCATGATCTTATCTTCCCATTGCAACACCTGAAAATCCTACACTAAAACATGCTATTCACCATTCCTTGGACCTTCTGGGCTCTTTGCTGTTTCTCCATGCCTTTGTACATCCGGTTCAACCCATGCAGATGCCTTCCCCAACTTCTACTCTGCAAAGCCTACTGTCATCCTAAGCCCAGGTAAATGCCTCACCTGTGAAGCCAGCCTTTCCGTTTAAGCCTTTGCACATGGAACTGATCCTGCCAGTCCCCACAATGCCATAGCTCTCTGTTTAAACTAGAGGGCCTCAACCAGTGGCAATTTCTACCCTGCCCTCTCAAGTGGACATTTGGCAATGTCTGGAGAGACTTCTGACTGTCAAAAATGGAGAGGGAAGGGTAGTTACTGTCATTTGGTAGGGGTCAGTATCATGATACACAGCCACCCACAACAAAGAATTATCCAGCCCAAAATGCCAAAAGTGCCAAGGATGAAAAACCCTGGGTTGGATCAAATTACAGGACTGTCACGGTCTACCTAAAATCATTGGCTGTCTCCACTGACAGATTATAAATTTGAGGGGGACAGTGTAACTAACAGGTACTATTTCTTGTACATATTACCTGCTCTTTCTATGATGAAACTTCTGCCGCAAAATACAGTAAGTAAGAAATATTAGATGCACAGGAAAGGAATGGTAAAGGGAAAGGAAATACCATTTATTGAACAATAGGTATGTATTAAATAGTGTGCTCCTATATGTATTATGTTTACTCTTCAGGCAACCCTAGGAGATACACAGTATTAATTGTAACTACTAAAATGTATCAAAAACTTATCATTAAACTGGCAATTCCCTAAATGCTTCATACTCCTGGTTTTATTTCACCCATAAAACTTTATGAAATAGATACTGTTATTATGCCTTTTTTACATGTGAAGACACTGTTAGAACATATTCAAGATAATCCATGCTAGCAAGTATCTGAACAAATATTTGAACCCAGGCAGGTTGGTCTAAGTCAAAAGATAATGTTCTTCTTTCTCAAATACTGGCATTTCTAATTGAATTTCCATAAAAGGCAAAATACCTGTTTTGGAGGAAGGACAGAGGCTGAGGTAGGAACTTCATATGCAATTTGGAGAGAGGCCCCTCCCATATCCAGTATCCCTACTGTCCTTCTTCGTCCTGCTGCTGATTCCTGGGAAGCTTCAGCATCTGATTCTGAAATGGTAAGGGAACAGAAGAGCTCTAGGAATTAAAAATCAAAATTAAATCCAAAAAAGAACACCTCCCCCAACCCAAAAGAAAACAAGAGCATTGCTTTAAAAATCAGAAAGCAAATGAAAATAATCTAATAGTCTTGACTATAGATTACATGGAGAGGAATTATTTCAAATGACCTAAACATGATATTTTAACTATGTCCATAATGGGACAGATTCTAAATAAACAAATAACTTAAGCTGAAGTCTAATAGTTTTATTGTTAACACTATTGCTATTATTATTTTTAAACTATTAAACATATATGGTAGAATAAAGCAGTACGTTAACATCTTTAGGAACAAAGATTGAACATAAAAGAAAAAGGATACATGTACAAAATCAAGAATTAAATAACAATTTTATAATCTTAAATATGAGTTTATTTATTTTTATTGATTTATATTTTGGCAGTACTGGGGTCTGAACTCAGAGCCTCACATTTGCTAAGCACGTGCTCTGCCACTTGAGCCATGCCACCAGCTTAAATATGAGTTGAAAATATCACTAGGAACTCACATTCATATGAACTCTGTGGCCAATGACAGGTCTAGGGTAGAAAGTATACAAGATGAGTATAGAATACCTTGGTATATCAGACAGCAGGGAAATAGTACAAAACAGTATTGGGATCATGCTACAGGGAACAGGAGCCTATCTAAAGGTGTTCTTAAAAAGAGTAATGAGGTGGGGGCATGACCTCAAGTGGTAGAATGCTTGTGTAGCATTCAAAAGGTCCTGGGAGGGAGGGAGGGAAAGAGGGAGGGAGGGAGGGAGGGAGGAAGGAAGGAAGGAAGGAAGGAAGGAAGGAAGGAAGGAAGGATGGAAGGAAGGAAGGAAGAAAGAAAAAGGAAAGGAAAAGAAAAGAGAAAAGAAAAGAAAAATGATGTGAATAGGTTCTTTTGGGCAGGGTGGAACAGCACTGGGGATTGAACCCAGGGCTTCATGCATGCTAAGCAAGCAACCTACTACTGAGCTACACCTCTAGCCCTAATATGGTGGGCTGTAATGCATCAACTATATTAAAAAATTCCTAAATTCATGACAATAAACACTGAGGCTGGTGGAGGGGCTCAAGTGGAAGAGCACCTGACTCCACAAGCATTAAGCCCTGAAGTTCAAACCCCAGTAACACAAATAAAATAAAATAAAATTCACTGATTACCTTGGGAAGTTGCTAGGACACCAACTCATTATTCAAAAGCTTAATAAATAAAGGAAAAGAATCAAGGGTTTAGTCTGTCTTTCCCATAAGAACTGTATTTCAAGAAAATCAAAAGAATTGATGAAGTTCAAAAATCCCAGCTGCTAAATGCAGAAGGAATGACAGAAAAAATCACTATTTTGCAACCTCTAAAAAAAAAAAAAAATACACATCTAAGCAACTATCACAATTGGCTACTTACAACCATTAGGTGAAAGGTGAATGAGAAATTTTATAAAATTAGACAGTGACAACCTGAACCCTGAGTATCTCATCAGTCTGAACATGACTAAAAGTAAGACAGACAGGATAACACCTGATGTGACATAGCAGGAAACAAACAGCACTATTTGTGATTAATTCTTATAGATGGAGTTCAATCTCAATCTAATCAAGCTTCTATAACTGACCTTCAGTATATAGGACATATAGGGAAAGAGGGGAAGAACATGTTAAAGACTCCTCAAAGATACAGTAGACCAAATTCAGAATGTGACAAATTCATTCTATCAAATGACCTAATTTTTCCCTTTTTTTTTTTTTTTTTTTGTGGAGACAGGGTATCTCTATGCAGCCCAGGCTAGCTTTGAACTTGCAATCCTCCTACCTCAACCTTTTAAGTGCTGGGATTACAGGCATGTACCCCATGCATGGGTTTGTTTTTTAATGATTTGCAAAAAGGTGAGGAAGTAGGTGGTAAGGGTGTGTGTTAAAACAGACTAAAGAGGAAGCACAGGTGGCTCATACCTATATTCCTAGTTACATGTAAGGGTAAGATGGAAGAGGCAACCCCAGGCCAACCTGGGCATATAGTTCATGAAATTCCATCTCCAAAATAAGCAGAGTGAGCAGGGTACTGGTAGCTTATGACTGTAATCCTAGCTACTCAGGAGGCTAAGATCAGGAGGATCATGGTTTGAAGTCAGTCCTACTAAATAATTCTCAAGATCCTATCTCAAAAATACCCAATACAAAAAAGGGCTGGTGGAATGGCTCAAGTGGTACAGCACCTGCCTAGCAAGCATGAGGCCCTGAGTTCAAGTCCCAGTGCTCACACACATATATATACACACACACACCCAAAACAGAGCAAAATGGACTTGAGGTGTGGCTCAAGGGGTAGAGGGTTGCTTTGCCAGTGCGAAGCCCTTAGTTCAATCTCCAGTCCCACCAAACAAACAAACAAATAAATAAGACCAAAGAGACATACCAATCAAATGGAATATCAGATTCTAATTTGAAACAAGACAGCTACAAATGAGAATTTCTGAAAAAAGTCAGTGAAAGTTCTACATGGATATTAACCAGGCATTGTATAACATATAATATCAGAAATTATTAATCCTGTTGCATTTGTACTGTTTTGTTGATTTTGAGGTGGGCAGTATTGTGTTTGAACTTAGGGTCTCACACCTGTTAGGCAGGCATTCTACCACTTGAGCCATGGTCCTCAGCCCATTACATTTTTAAAATGGTATTGTGAATTTTTTCTTTTTTGCTTTATTTTGAAACTCTGGTATACATATGAAGATAAAATGATACATATGGGCTTTGCTTTAAAAAAAAAAAAAGAAAAAAAAACCATGTGGGAGCCAGGTGTGATAATACAGATCTGTAACCCCAGCACTGCCCAAGCTGAGGCAGGAGGATTTCAAGTTCAAGCCTAGCCCAGAATACATAGTAAGGAAGGAAGGGAGTGAAAAAGAGAATAGAGTGGGGGAAATGTGTGTTATAAAGAAGTCATATAAACAAACAAACAAAAAAAGGCAAATGTTATTAAGTGTTGAGTCTGAGTAATAAGTCCATGGAGGTTCATTTTATTATTTATTCTGGTTTTATGAATATTTAAAACTTTTCATAGTAAAAAAGAAAACCAAATTAGGACTGGAAAATGAAGCAGCTTAAGTTTTTAAAAAGAAAAACAACTCAAATCTACTAATAGATTATGACTTAAACCATCATCCCTTAAAGAATTATCATAAGAAGGTGGTATTACTCACCATCTTCATGGTCAAATCTTCCCAAAACAAAGTTGATTCCAATCCATGCATAAACCCCTAGGTAAGAAATATAAAAAGCCTCACTTAATTCTATTACTGCTTTTCTCCTCCTTTTCTTAGAAAAAAGAAATCACCGTATTCTATTCCATACTCTCAAGAATATGGATTTTAAATCTTTTTTTTTTTCTCCCCTCCTCCTGTCACTTGGCCCTGGGTGCAGATGAAACCACAGGAAGTGCTTGGCAGAGTGGGAAAATTGAAAGCCTCCTTTTCTGACCAGAAGACCATGAAAGTGAGCTTCAAGGAACCAGAAACTCTCAGGAGCATCAGGAGAATAGGGAATAAAATTAGGTACGAACTCCTGGGCTCACCTCCAGGCTATACATACATGGATCTGACCCTAAATAATAAACCAATGGTTTTGAGAACCATGTGGTAGGACACTGCTCAGGTCCTAGGCTGGCCACTTGCTGACATTCACAGGACAAATCCCAATAGTAGTGTCAAGACTTTGAATAATAGGATCAGCCTATAAAAGGTGTGAAAGAACTTGAGCTTGAACCTATCAGGTTGACTGCCTGTTTAAAAAAAAAAAAATCCAATGATCTCATATGCAAAATTATTTGGCATACGAAGAACCAGGAAAACTTTAATTCAAAAGGGAAAAAAGTCAAAAGATGACAACACTGAGATAACACATATATTGATTGGCATGTTAAGGAGGCTAGGCCATTGCTGACTCAGAGGTGATCCAGCTCTACCCCTCCAGACTCAATACCTTCCTGCTTCCCAGAGATCACTTCTGCCTGAGACTGGGAAAAAAGGAAGTCGAACTCCAGTGGTAAATCTTTCACTAGGTCAGCCAAGATAGCCAACTGCTTCCTGCAAAACAAGAACAAAAACCCAGAAGTTAATAATTTACTGTCTTTTCAGGCACTCTACTTATAGTCCCAGCTACTTAAGAGGCTAAGGCAGAACTGCTTGTACCCAAGGGTTTGGGGCTAGCCTGGGCAATACACAGAGACCCCATCTCTTAAGGAAAAAAAAACAAAAACAAACCCTCTCTTCTCACTAACTGCCTATACTGGCCTTCCTCCTGGTCCTGTTATAATGGCATTGTTCGTCTACCTTACCCACTTGTGCAGCCCTGCTTCTTTTGATTTCAAAGGTTTAAACTTTCTCCAAAGAACAGCCTCCTACATAAAAAGGAATATGGTAATAGTAATACTTTTCCCTTATCTAATGTTATAACTCAAATAGGATTGAAAACTGAGACTATGCCTCTCAGATGGTGAGTATGAATAAGCCACAGGAAATGACAGCACAGAATCATAATCTATAAAATACATATAGCAACATTATTCTTAATTACTTTGAAAGAAAAATGTAAATTAAGGAACCGATCTCATCTTACAAAAATAATGCCTCCCACATGACTCCTCCTCAAGACATACTGTTAGTTATACAAGTTAGTTATTCAAGTTTTTATATAATTCTTTACACAAACTAACAACTTTTTAATCTCACTTTCCGTATTTCAAGAATTCTTTCTTGATAAAAATCTTATCATTTGAAAACCCATGGTGGGAGGGGAGATAAAGGAGAATGATGGAGGGGCTAAATTCATCTATGATATATTGTAAGAGCTCTCATAAATGTCACAATGTACTCCCAGTACAACAATACTGTAACAGAAAAAAGAAAAAAAAAAAAACAGATCAGATTCAAAATCCAAAGTTGGTAAGATTTCCAATTCAAGGATGACATTTGAAACAGTATCTACGAAGTCTTTCTAAGGTCTTCCATACATTCTCAGTATTATCAGTCAATGAGAAGCAAAGAATCAAAGCAGGAGGTAATATTATAAATCTAGTGAAAATGTTAGTTGGGCTACAAAACTCTATGGATAAATAAATAAGTAGACCAATTTTCTTGGATTTTTAAAAGTTATTCATTATGAAACATTCCCAGCTGGATATGCTTCTAAACAACCCACAGGGGAGACTTTGCTGGGTGTGGTGATGACAGGGAAGAATAGGTACCAGCCTTCATTGCTGTTTGCAATGTAAATTATGGGTCCCAATACCACCTTTCTAGAGAGGAATCCAGGACTGCTTCAAAATTTTAAATGTGCTTAATCTTTGACCTAGCTATTATGTTTTTAGAAATTCATTCCATGGAATGGAGAGAGGAATACTGCAGCATTATTTATTATAATAATGAAAAACTGGAAATAACATGATAATATAGGGGTTAATTTATAGTACATTCATACAATATAATACCATAAAAGTGTTAAAAGAAATGAGGTCAACTTTTATCTACATGTACTGACATGAAAAGATGTTCAATATACTTTGTTGAATTCTAAAGGTTACAAGACAGTATGTATAATATGATCCTATTTATGTTAAAAACAAAGAAACTCTTCATATACTGCACTTGAATAAGACACAGCTTTCATTTTCCAAAATTCAATGTTTATTTTAAAACTTTTAATGACAAAACACTGATAACTGTGGAAGCTGAGTGGTGGGTTAAAATCAAGACTCACTACACTGTTCTCTCTACTTTTATATGCATATGAAATTCTCTAAATAAAAATTTTTGTGTGAAATATTACTCTGTCAATACTTTTGTAATTTTATACTACAAAATAAAAGGACAGTCAAAAAAAATTCTGTTAGGTTGTTGGCAAAGAAATAAAACCAACTGGTAATAAATTCAAAATACAGTCTGCATATTGAATATTGCAAACACTAATAAAGTAGCAAAGCATTAATCATACAAAACAGGTTCTTGCAGTGATAGTCACACTTATGCCAACAACTACCTTGGCCTTAGAGGCAGCAACAATTTCATTAAAGTCAGAACAGATATAATGCATTACTGTATTATTAAGAGACAATCAGAAAGGTAAAAGAGAAGAAAAGTTGCATTTCTTTAAAAATTCTCAATAAAATAATTATCAACATTTAGAGCTTCTACACTGGCAGCTAACACCATAAACAAATAGAGTGGAGCTACACAGTGGGTTTTGTGTCCATGGAAACATTGGCAAACAAAGGCAATGCTGGGCAGTGCCAGAAGATGAGGCAATACTCCAGACACACAAAGGTGGCTGAACCACAACCAGGTTCTTCTACCCAGCCTTGCAGGGTGGCTCTGCCCTTTTGACCTCCCACTCAGCTTTTTCTCTGGCTTCCTTCCCCCTTCATTGATTATGAGAATTTCAGCCATTCAGAGATTTTGTGATATGAAATCCTTGTCTTGTGCCATCTATTCTCTCAGGGTTTCTGTAACTTTTAAATGGTGTGAATATTACTTATATCAAAAACAAAAATTCTAAAATGTATGCACAGATTATAACTTGTGGAAATTACATAAAGATGGATGCAGAGAAGAAATTGGAGCAAAGTTAAACCGTTTCAATTGGCTAGTAGAAAAGTAAAGCTTGGTTTATTTTTAAGATTTCCCTTAATGGTTAAGGTTGCAACTACCATAACATTTAACGTTTGGTTTTAAAAATATGTAAAAACAAAATGAAATTTCATAAAAGACTAAGATGTGTGGGGAAATAAAACAAGGAACTAGAAGAAGACCTCCATATTGACAGATGGCTATATAAATGGTCTGCTCCTCAACAGTAACCACTAGCTAGGAGTCTAAAGCATGGGGAAGGAGTTCACTGAAAGAAGGACTGCTGCTTGTTATACATGTCAGACACAATACCATGAAGTCCTTCATGCGTAACTAAGGTTTTTCTTAACTGTTGCTGCTTTAGGAAAAGAAAGGCTGAGTATAAAAAATTAAAATTTATTTACCAAGGGAAAATATTTAAGCCAATAAGAAATGCCTGCTGCCTCTGAGACTATGATCATTCCTGCAAGATGGATTCTGAAGTTAAGGTTGGCCATGATTTCATTGATAACCAACATCACAGGCAACAAAACCAAAAATAAATGAGTGGGACTATCTCAAACTAAAAAGCTTCTGCACAACAAAAGAGTGAAAAGGCAAACTATAGAATGGGAAAAAATATTTGCAACCCATGTCTGATAAAGGATTAATCTTCAAAACAAAACGAAAAAACTTCTTACTAGGTAACACACACGCACAGGAAATCAATGTGAGTCAATGCCCTGTATAGCTATCCTTATCTCAACCAGCAAAAACCCTTGTTCCTTCCTATTATTGCTTATACTCTCTCTTCAACAAAATTAGAGATAAGGGCAAAATAGTTTCTGCTGGGTATTGAGGGGGTGGAGGGGAGAGGGAGGGGACGGAGTGGGTGGTAAGGGAGGGGGTGGGGGCAGGGGGGAGAAATGACCCAAGCCTTGTATGCACATATGAATAATAAAAGAAAAAAAAACTTCTTACTATTGAATAGTAAATATATATATAATTAGAACTATTGTGATCTGGGGAATTATCTGAAAACAATTGAAATCAAGATCTCGGGAGATATTAACAATCCTATGTTCTTGCAGCATTATTCACAATAGCCAAGTTCAAGTTCTGGTAACAACCTAAATGTCTGTGGATGGATGAATGGATAAGGAAAATGTGCTACTGTTCGGTGTTCAGCATTAAAAAAGGAAACTCTGCAATATGTGACAACATGAGTGAACCCCAAGGACGCGATGCTAAGGGAAGCTGCGAGCATGTAGTCTCACTTAAAACATGAGCACTTTCTAGAGAGCTGCTGTACAACATCACGCAATATGTACTGTATACTTAAAAAGTTGTCAAGGGTAAATTTCATGTTAAGTGTTTGTTAGGGTTTGGATTTGAAGCATCCCCCAAAAAGGTGTGGTCCTCAGTTGGTAGATCTAATCATTGAGAGGTGACTGGACAATGAGAGCTCTGACCTAATCAGTGGATTATCCCCACTGATAGATTTGAAGTTTGAAGCATTATTGGGAGGTGGTGAAAACTTTTGGGGGTGAAGTCTAGTAGGAGGAAGTAGATAATTCGGGGCATGTTGTTGGGGGCTGTATCTTGTTCTGGGCCTTTCTTTGGCTCTTCCTGGCCACCATGAGGTGAGCAGCTCTGCTCCACCATGCCCACCTTCCTCATGGCAGGTTCTGCTCTACCACAGGCCTAGAAACAATGCAGCCAGTGACCATAGACTAAAACCTTTGAAACTGTGAGCCAAAATAAACTTTTCCTCCTTTAAACTGTTTCTCTCAAGTTATTTTTCACAGCAATGAAAAGTCTGACCAATACACTGTTCTTACCGCAATAAAATAAAATCACAAAACCAGAGTTCAGAGGGCTCACTCCCATCCCTTGCATAGTAAGTGTGGTGGGATCCAGGAGGTATTAAAGTGGAGAAATCACAAACAAGGAGGTGTCTGACTAAATATAACCTCCTCTTCCTGCTCTTCTACTTCAGGAAAAAGCATCAGGAGATAAGATGTCAGGCTGAACTGCTGAGGTTAAGTGGAAAAGACTTCACTGGCTAGGGCTGAGAAAACTGGTCTAAAGTGATGGAGACTGAGATTTGTGTAGCTGCAACAGGAAGGACTTACTAATTATCACTGGGACCCAACCAAGAGTTACAGAGAAGGCAGCATTGCTACCTAAGCTGTCCTGGAAGCCCCTAGTAAGTATCCACTTTCTCAGGTGAGAAGGAGGCTTCTATAAGTAAGTTCTCCCTCTAGATGCTTTGTGATTCAAATTTATCACCAAAACCACCACTCAATCCAAACTCAGAATCACCATGGCCATGTCAGATATTGATCCCAAAGCAGCAAAAGATAGGAGGATGTAAATGACTGATTATGCAGTAACTAGGTACAGGGGTGGCTCTGCTCTATTTCTCAGCAAGAAGCCTTTAGGTGCCACCTATGAACTCTGCTCAGTTGGTGTAGCCACATCTACATCCAGACCAAGGGAACCGTGAAGGACGATGTATGGAATTGGCTTTCAACTCTGTGTCACCCATTTGATTCCCATGCCTTCACCACACCTCTCAGGGAGAAGCCGCATGCCTGCTGTACAAAGGATGTAAAGAGGGGTCTCCTTGTGCTTCTTCACAGGCACGTGAGCAGCAGCAAAGCTCAGCAGAGGACGAAGGTAATCACTGGCATGTTCTGGCGTGTCTGCCATTGCTGAGATTCCTTAAGTAAAAGAAAATACTGCCTTTACAAAGCAGATCACGTAAGACTCAGAAAACTGACACCCCACAAGGTTCTGCTTAACATTCTAAACATTTATTTATTTGAAAGGAGTAGAGCAACAATGGATAAGATATTCCTCCTACTACCCAGACTCTCACAAAGAAAAGAGTAGCTTGTTCTCCCCTTTTTCTTCTCTCCTCTCTCATGCCTATAGCAGGTAAAAAGAGATTAATAACAAATTATTCTAATTAGTACCTGGCTTGATTTTTTTAACCACAGGTTGGCTGTTGCGGTCCCTCATCTGTTTGATGTCCAGCAAATCATGGGGGTTCCCATTATGTCTTGGCCAGAAATAAACAAAAATCCGGGAGCCACTGCTACCACAGTCCACCACGAGTCCATAATTCAGATTAGGGTCTTCAGTGTCAGTGGCTTCAAGATCTCCTACCCGAGCCAAATACCTAAGCCAGACAAAAAGAAAAACCAGCCAAGTCCATGAAGGGCATCACCACTTACTAATGAGTCTTTACTAACTACCTGTATGTACCAACCACATAGCACAACAAGACCTCACAAAGGAATGGAACAATACTGGTCATATTTACCAACATGTATGAAGCAACGGCTGGTTGGCTTGCCTGGAGGCCACTGAAATTAGATATCTAAAAGACTCCCCTCACATTTGGAGCAGTTCTGAAACTGGCCAGGCTAATAAATCTTTTGCCAGCATTAAAGTCTGTAGGCCTACATAAATAACTGGGTTTTGCTGTTATAAGCCAGTAAGTGTTAGGGTGGTTTATTATACACATTAGACAACTGCAATAATCTTAATCACTTCTTTTCTATGTATCTGTCCTTTCTGTACATATGTGCATAAAGAATACTGTGGGACAATAACCACTTAATGTGTGTATGTGAGTGCTGATATTTTTTACTGGGTTTTTGTTTTGTTTTGCTCTTTGCTTTGTACTTATGTTGCTAGAATTACATTAAATAAAAAAATGTATTGCACTGGCCATGGTGGTGCACATCTATAGTCTCAGCACATAGGAGGATCAAAAGTTTGAGGCCAGCTTGGGCTATACGGTGAGACCATGGCTCAAAAAAAAAAGAGGCCTGGCAGTATGGCTAAAGTGGTAGAGCACCTGTGTAGCAAGCATGAGGCCCTGAGTTCAAACCCTAGTACCATCAAAATAAATAAATTAATGTGTTCCATAAAAACAATATTCTTTTCTATAACCTTTTAAAATATTTTGCAGACATAAAAAGAATGTTTATATAGGGTATAAAGAATAACAATAAGCCAGGCATGGTGGCACATACTTGCAATCCCAGCACTGAGGAGGCTGAAGCAAAAGGATCTCAAGTTCAAAGCCAGTCTGGGCTACAAAGGGAGACTCTGTCTCAAAATAAAAAAATAAAATAAAGGATAAGAATTAAAATAAATGCCTATGTACCCATCAACCAGCTTAAAAAATAAAACACTACACTATTAAAATAAGTGAATGAATGAATAAACAGATAAATAATAGAGTGTTTCTAGACCCTATGACATTAGTGTTATGTGTTGGGATTTTCATTTTCAGATTCTCATTTCATGATACCTGGTTGACAGCTGGAAGATGAAACTAGTAAAGATGCTACCATGAAACACACCAAGGTTTGGATCTCAGCCCCATCACTTCTTATGTGACCTTCATAATATGCTGTGTGACCTTCAGCACATTACCTAACTTCTCCAGACAGTTTCCTCATCTGTAAAACAAGGAGAGTTAAGAGTATCTACCAGAGGTTGAGGATGTAGCCCAATGGTAGAGTGTGTCCTTAATTAAGTAAGGATGTGCCAGGCCGTGGGTTTGATCCCCAGCTAGCACCACAAAAACAAACAAACAAAAAATAAGTGTATTTACCCTCGGAGAAATAACGGACATCAAGTAGTTAAGCAGTGGCATATGTAACTATTGTTATTAACAGGATAAATATTAGGAGAGCAAATAATTAGAGACTCTCAGCCCTCAGGAGAAAAGGGCTAAAAAGTCCAGAAAGAAGGATAAGAGTTGGTAAAATGCTTCTGAGTGCTGAGGCATTCATTGATGCTAAAATCCCATCAGAATCTGAAGGTCTGAGAAGTACAAGTCTCTCTAACTGCCATCCACAGGCTTCAAACAATGAAGAGGACATACTACATGGCACACAGATTTTAATTTTGACTTTTAAATTCCTGGATATGTGAATAAGTATTACTATAGATTGAGCTAACAATTGTCTGGATAAACCCCCTGAAAACTATGCTGTGAAATTTTCAAGTATTATAGCTAATGTATAATATTCACATGGGGCCCTGTGCATCCAATATTGTCATTGGAGTTAACTCCTAGATACTCAGGGACTTACACAGAACATCTAAGAACCACCTTTTGTGAAGTCTGAAGCTAATACAATCTAGAGAGCTTCTTTAAAAAGAAAAAAAAAATTAACATTACAAACACAAAATGGGACCATAAGAGTGATAGACCTTGAAGGGTAGGGGGAGCATGGCTTAAGTGGCAGAGTGCTTGCCAAGCAAGTGCAAGACCCCAGTACTTCAAGAAAACCAGAAAAATCCACTCCAAAAAGTGACAACCTTGAAGTACAGATATAATTAGCTTTATCATAAATCCATCTCCAAACAGAATAATAAGTCACAGGCACATCCATCAGGTCAATCTAGCTGGTGTTTATGGTGATTTCACATTGTTATGCAGACCACAGTTAGTTCCTTGCTTCTTAAGAGCATTTAAAAATAGTTCTGAAGTCAAAAAGAGGAGCTGAGTATCTTCACCTATCCTACTCCACGATGAGAAATACACTTTGCTAAAGGAAAAGAGCATAACTTGCGCTTCAGTATAAAGCCATAAACTACTGAACAGGGTAAGTCAAGTACACATTTTTTCTAGATCTAAAATAGTAAAAATCTATTACACACTAGAAAATTTACAGTCTTAAAGCTTCCAGTTCACCTTCCCATTCTAATCAAATTACTGGGGTTTGACCTGGGCTCAGACTCCACCAATTAATTCCTAACAGCTCTCCTAGCACATGAAAGCTGGCAGAAGTCTAGATTTGAGCTACAGAACTCCCAAAATACTGATCACACACATTAGAGGCCACAGATTTAAAATAAAAACAAACAAAAAATCCACCCCCAGCCCAAAGCTCAAAGTAGTTTTTCATTTTTCATCAGAGAAATCTTTTTACTTCACATGCTTAACAGATCTTTCTCTGCTGCCCTTTTCTGAAAACTATCCCCTCTCTTTTTTTTTTCTTATTCATTTATTCATATGTACATACATTGTTTGGGCCATTCCCCCCCCCCCTTCCCCGTCCCCCGCCCCTTCCTCTTCTCCCTAACCCCCTTGCTTCCAGGCAGAACCTGTTCTGGCTTTTTCTCCAGTTTTGTTGAAGAAAAGACATAAGCAATAATAAGACAGACAAAGCGTTTTTGCTAGTCTGAGATAAGGATAGCTATACAGAGAGATTCCTAGCATTGATTCCATGCACATGTGTATTACAACCTGAATTGATTTATCTCTACCAGACCTCTTCACTACTTCCCGGTCACCTTCCCATATTGACCTCTGTATTTTAAGGTTACTGTATTAGCTCCTCTACAGTGGGCACATCAAACACTTTCAAGTTCTGGGTTTCCTACCTTTTCCTATCCCTCCTGTATATGTCCTCCCCTTAGTGTGTGACCCATGTCCAATAATATTACTGCATTTGTTTTAGACCTAAAGTCTGCATATGAATGAGAGCATAAGATTTTTGACTTTCTGAGCCTGGCTAACTTCACTTAAGATGATGTTCTCCAAGGGAGGTGTGAGGATAGGTAAGACACCTAAAAAATTAGCTAGCATTTGTTGCCCTCAACGCAGAGAAACTAAAGCAGATACCTTAAAAGCAACTGAGGCCAATAGGAAAAGGAGACCAGGAATGACAGAAAAGGTTAGATCAAAAAGAATTAACCTAGAAGGTAACACACATGCACAGGAAAGTAATGTGAATCAACTCCCTGTATAGCTATCCTTATCTCAACTAGCAAAAACCCTTGTTCCTTCCTATTATTGCTTATACTCTCTCTTCAACAAAATTAGAGATAAGGGCAAAATAGTTTCTGCCCAGTATTAAGGGGGTGGGAGGGAGAGGAAGGGGGCGGGGTGGGTGGTAAGGGAGGGGGTGGGGGGAAGGGGGGAGAAATGACCCAAGCATTGTATGCACATATGAATAATAAAACAATAAAAAAAAATAAAAAAATAAAAGATGATGCTCTCCAGTTCCATCCATTTACTTGCAAAATAAGATTTCATTCTTCTTCACCCTCTACCTCTCTTTAACAAGGTTCAGCATCTCACCCCTTCTGCTTATTGAATCGCTTTCTCTGTGGTACACTGCTTACAAATTTTTGGGCTTCAAGACTCCTTTATATTCTTAAAAATTACTGGATGCCCCCAAGAGCTTTTGTGTACATGGGTTACATCTACAAAATATTTATATTACAAAATAAAACAGAAAACTTTTAAATATTAATTTATTTAGATAAAAATAAACCCATTATGTATTAACAAAGTATGTACAGAGAAGCTACATTTTCTAAAACGAAAACAGTTGGAAAAGTGGTATGTTTTATAGCTTTGCCAATATGTTTAGTGTCTAGATTAAGAGAAAACAGCTAGATTCTCTTATCTGTTACAACACACTGTTTTGGCTAAAGTATTTGTGTTAAAATCCAGCCTCTCAACACACATGGTTGGAAAGGGAAGAGTTTTGTTTTGTTTTTAATTTTATTTTATTGATGCTAGGAATTGAATCCAGGGCTTCATGTGTGCTAGGCAAGTGCTCTACCACTGAGCTACATCTGCAGACAGAGGAGGAGTGTTTTAATAGCCCTTTTATATCACTGAAGATATTCTGCTTTGATATTACATTAAAACTTGAAACAAATAGTTTCGTAAAGGTTAGTTGCAATAACTTTTCATATCCTATAACATTAAATGCACTTTGAATGACTTTTACCCAGGCATGATTTTGCAATATCATATATTAGACAGAATATATTGATTCACTGAATTATACACATCTTCCTAAGGTTGACACATTTTATTCTACAATGTCAAAAAACCACATTCAATCATTAATAAATAAAGACTAATAAAAGAGTCTTCTAAGTACCAGAAAGCTATCAAATTCACAGTAGCAGAGATAAGCTTCCAAAATTCTAATTCCTATTTTGAAGTTCAATTTTTATCATTGGCAAGAAATACTGACAATTGTTTTCTTTGGAGTAATAGATAACAGGTTTATTTCATTCGTTTTCAAAAAAAAAATCTATGGGGTGGGGATGTAGCTCAAAAGTACAGCACTTGCCTTGCATACACAAGGCCCTGGGTTTAATACCCAGTACTGCAAAAATATTTTTTAAAAA